TGCAGAAAATTTTGTTCCTGAACTCAGATGTGCTAAATCTGCAAAGACCTGTCTCGTGGGCACAGACAAATTTTAAAATAAACTTTGTTGCCTTGAACTATATTAAAGATGTTGTGTTTGATATGGTAACCACTCAATTCTTGTTTCATGTACAATTTCCTAAATGCGTTTTAGTTACTTTGAATTATCACTCTCCCTTGTCCAATCAAAATTAAAGTTGCAAAAATAAAAGTATTATTATTATTTTTATTATTATTGACATTTCTAGCAAATAATTTTTTATTGGCCAGAGACGCATCAATCACAAAGGCTGCTTGAATAGAGGTAGGGTGGAGAATGAACATACGTACAGTAGAGACAGCAGTGAACCTTAATATATAGGGTGGCAATTTCATCCAACAGTACAAAATTCTTTTCATATCATGATTTATTAAAATGTCAGTCCCAATTAAATTTTACCAAGCAAAGTCAAGTTTTATAGTGATTTTTGTGAGTCCAAATTAACAAGTGGATGTTCAACTTATTGACAATACTTTGTGTGAAAACTAACTTTGCAGTTATTCAGTTTGTATTGCATACTCCTGGCACTGAAACATATTGTTCATTATTTGACTGCCTCTAAGGATTGACTGTGCTGTCTGCTCCAGCAAAATATGCATCTGTGTGTTTGTTATGGTGAACAATTTCCCATTTTTTCATCCATGGTCCGGAAAGTGTTGAATCAAACTCATCAACATCCTATGCACAAATATAAATACATCTTTAATAAAGACTATTAAAATGAATATGTGGAACTGGAAAAATATGTTGAAAGAAAAAAATGTGTATATTTAAAAGTGTAAAAAAAAAAAAAAAAAAAGACATGCATCAGTTTTAATCACACTTCTGAAAATGTGTTATAAGACTATTCCTAGATAATAGTTTCATAATTTTCAATAAAATAATAAAGGAAACTTTAAACAATAAGTTCCTTCGGAAGGAGCTGTCATAAAATAATAAAATTTGGCAGTGGGTATACCTTTCCAAGTATTTTCTCCTGTGATGCAGTCCTGTCTACCTTGGTAAAAGCGTCCCAGTCAACTTTTAGGTTTGGGTCTTTAGAAGAACGTAAAAGAACCCCTTCTTTGAGTCCCCACAATCCAACTGGGTCTGTCGGTTTAGACCATCGCAAGTCCAGGCTCCATCGAATGACATTTGAGTAGTTGCTCAAGCTGAAAAACAGCATAACATACATAAAACATCCTGGAAGTTAAAACATAATGAAGGTTATCAATACTGAAAACCAAATTAATTAAGCTATACCTTATTTAAATATAGACAGGTATATTTAGAAACAACATATTAATTCAATCACATCATCTAATGTTTGACAGACACAAAATGAATAATGATACAAAAAGGTGCACTATTTTTGTGTGTCACCTAAAGCTATTTTTTGTAAACTGAAACATGGAAAATATGGAACTTTTAAATCAAGATATGTTTCTCAAAATGTTTGGGCGTTTCCAAAATTTCTTCTCTGGTTGCATTTGGCATTTTCAGAATTTTTGGTTGGAACTAACCACTTTTATTATTGGGAAATGGTTCACTGTAGAAAAATTATTCCTTGGAAATGTTTGGGTCAACCATCCTAACAATACACAGCCTGTATATGACTCCGTTTACATGAAAAATCTATTTTCTAAAAATCTATTTTCTATTCGCGGTATCTTGTGATCACTCCGAGCGCAGCCGAGAATCAATTACAGCTTTGGAAGTAACTGGCTCACGCTGCCAGTAATTACGCCGCAGGGTAGTCAGGGCACAGACCATGATCACAAGATACTGCGAATAGAAAATAGATTTTTCATGTGAACGAAGCCTTTGTTTAAACCAACCTTCTGTGAGGTAAAAGATTATTAAAGAAGAGGAAGCCTCCATAAGGAATAGGACAGGTCATGATGTCTTCTTCCATATTGGCTCCTGGGAATAAAAGAGACCCTTTTAGTCATTTCCTGTTACATTAAGTTTTTCTCTATCACTCTGTAACTGATGAGGGCAATTCTACTCTCATATTTTAGTACATGTTAATAGATATGCTTACACACAACATATTTAATCTACACAGCCTTCCTTACATATGAATTATAAAAACAAATCTTGCACTTGCTTTTTTATCCACAATATACTTACCAAGGGTTTTTACCATCTCTTCTTCTTCCAGCATCACATACCAGGTTGGTCCAGCACAGCAGGTGTGGGTGGCTAAACGACCAGACCTGTGGGCTTTCTTAACCAACTGAATTCAAGGGGATACAAGTTATAAAACTAAGGCATACATTTTAAAAACAGTGGTGTATCTCTCAAACACCCCTTTTGTGAGGTAAAATCATGTAGGTGTAAAAACAAAGGTGAAAGGGTCAAAATGAAAAAAAAAAGTCCACAGTAAAATTAACACATTGTCTCTCTACATTTCTAGCTTTAATTTCTTAGCTGGAAGTGTCTTTGGTCACGTAAACCGCATAATAAGCCCCATCACTGTAGAAAATATTTTGCAATGTACAATACTTCCAAGATAACCAAAAGACTTGCCAATAAGGTAATATCAAGCAACATTTCATGAGATTTGGGGGACAGTGGGTTCTTTAAATAGTGAAGATATATGCACCTGTAGACATCCATTGTTTTCATTGGCATCCAGCAGTGGTATCCAGGCTGTTGGAATCATAATCTTATGGGCATCATTGTCCATATATGCTGCATCTAGAAAATAGCAAAACTATAAATAAAAAACATTTACCCACAATATTTATTGGACAGTATTAAAAACTTAATATCGGGAGCTATGCAAACATGGAAAATCTGTCCACTTTATCGTCAAGATATCAGGATAATTTGAGAGGTTCATGTGATTTTGCGATAATATTTTATGATCGTAATAAAATCAATCCTAATACTACTCCTCTATTTAAAATAAAAAATATAGACATTTGCCAAGCCAAAAGATTATTTCCATGTAAAAATGATACCTTGGTGCCAGGGAACCACAGTCTGTTCATTTTTNTGCAGAAAATTTTGTTCCTGAACTCAGATGTGCTAAATCTGCAAAGACCTGTCTCGTGGGCACAGACAAATTTTAAAATAAACTTTTTTGCCTTGAACTATATTAAAGATGTTGTGTTTGATATGGTAACCACGCAATTCTTGTTTCATGTACAATTTCCTAAATGCGTTTTACTTACTTTGAATTATCACTCTCCCTTGTCCAATCAAAATTAAAGTTGCAAAAATAAAAGTATTATTATTATTTTTATTATTATTGACATTTCTAGCAAATAATTTTTTATTGGCCAGAGACGCATCAATCACAAAGGCTGCTTGAATAGAGGTAGGGTGGAGAATGAACATACGTACAGTAGAGACAGCAGTGAACCTTAATATATAGGGTGGCAATTTCATCCAACAGTACAAAATTCTTTTCATATCATGATTTATTAAAACGTCAGTCCCAATTAAATTTTACCAAGCAAAGTCAAGTTTTATAGTGATTTTTGTTTGTCCAAATTAACAAGTGGATGTTCAACTTATTGACAATACTTTGTGTGAAAACTAACTTTGCAGTTATTCAGTTTGTATTGCATACTCCTGGCACTGAAACATATTGTTCATTATTTGACTGCCTCTAAGGATTGACTGTGCTGTCTGCTCCAGCAAAATATGCATCTGTGTGTTTGTTATGGTGAACAATTTCCCATTTTTTCATCCATGGTCCGGAAAGTGTTGAATCAAACTCATCAACATCCTATGTACAAATATAAATACATCTTTAAAGACTATTAAAAGTGTATGCATGCATCAGTTTTAATCACACTTCTGAAAATATGTTATAACTATTCCTAGATAATAGTTTCATAATTTTTCAATAAAATAATTAAAGAAACTTTTAACAATAAGTTCCTTCGGAAGGAGCTGTCATAAAATAATAAAATTTGGCAGTGGGTATACCTTTCCAAGAATTTTCTCCTGTGATGCAGTCCTGTCTACCTTGGTAAAAGCGTCCCAGTCAACTTTTAGGTTTGGGTCTTTAGAAGAACGTAAAAGGACCCCTTCTTTGAGTCCCCACAATCCAACTGGGTCTGTCGGTTTAGACCATCGCAAGTCCAGGCTCCATCGAATGACATTTGAGTAGTTGCTCAAGCTGAAAAACAGCATAACATGCATAAAACATCTGGAAGTTAAAACATAATGAAGGTTGTCAATACTGAAAACCAAATTTATTAAGCTATACCTTATTTAAATATAGACAGGTATATTTAGAAACAACATAATTCAATCACATCATCTAATGTTTGACAGACGCAAAATGAATAATGATACAAAAAGGTGCACTATTTTTGTGTGTCACCTAAAGCTATTTTTGTAAACTGAAACATGGAAAATATGAAACTTTTAAATCAAGATATGTTTCTCAAAATGTTTGGGCACTTCCAAAATTTTTTCCCTGGTTGCATTTGGCATTTTCAGAATTTTGGTTGGAACTAACCACTGTTATTATTGGGAAATGGTTCACTGTAGGAAAATTATTCCTTGGAAATGTTTGGGTCAATCATCCTAACAATACACAGCCTGTATTATGTTTAAACCAACCTTCTGTGAGGTAAAAGATTATTAAAGAAGAGGAAGCCTCCATAAGGAATAGGACAGGTCATGATGTCTTCTTCCAGATTGGCTCCTGGGAATAAAAGAGACCCTTTTAGTCATTTCTTTTTACAGTTACAGGTGTTACATAAAGTTTTTCCCTATCACTCTGTGTAACTGATGAGGGCAATTCTACTCTCATATTTTAGAACTATTATTATATGTTACTAGATATGCTTACACACAATATATTTAATCTACACAGCCTTCCTTACATATAAATAATAAAAACAAATCTTCCACTTGCTTTTTTATACACAATATACTTACCAAGGGTTTTTACCATCTCTTCTTCTTCCAGCATCACATACCAGGTTGGTCCAGCACAGCAGGTGTGGGTGGCTAAACGACCAGACCTGTGGGCTTTCTTAACCAACTGAATTCAAGGGGATACAAGTTAACTAAGGCATACATTTTAAAAACAGTGGTGTATCTCTCAAACACCCCTTTTGTGAGGTAAAATCATGTAGGTCCATGGTAAATTTAACACACTGTCTCTCTACATTTCTAGCTTTAATGTTTTAGCTGGAAGTGACTTTGGTCACGTAAATCCCATAATAGGCCTCCTCACTGTAGAAAATATCTTGCAATGTACAATACTTCCAAGATAACCAAAAGACTTGCCAATAAGGTAATATCAAGCAACATTTCATGAGATTTGGGGGACAGTGGGTTCTTTAAATAGTGAAGATATATGTACCTGTAGACATCCATTGTTTTCATTGGCATCCAGCAGTGGTATCCAGGCTGTTGGAATCATAATCTTATGGGCATCATTGTCCATATATGCTGCATCTAGAAAATAGCAAAACTATAAATAAAAAACATTTACCCACAATATTTATTGGACAGTATTAAAAACTTAATATCGGGAGCTATGCAAACATGGAAAATCTGTCCACTTTATCGTCAAGATACCAGGATAATTTGAGAGGTTCATGTGATTTTGCAATAATATTTTATGATCGTAATAAAATCAATCCTAATACTACTCCTCTATTTAAAATAAAAAATATAGACATTTGCCAAGCCAAAAGATTATTTCCATGTAAAAATGATACCTTGGTGCCAGGGAACCACAGTCTGTTCATTCTTGGGTGTTTTGGTGCGCAGATTCCATACAGGGTGCCCCATGATGTCAGGTCCAATAATTTGTTCCACAACATTCAACAGTCTCTCATTAGACAGCAAGTTCTTGAAAGCCTTGAGAAACAAGGGAGAATTATTATTTTGGATATTAAGTAAATGCTCACCTTCTATTTTCAGAGGTGTAAGTTTGGAAAACTTTAGTTCTTTAATTGAAGGGATAATAACTCTTCGTATGAGATCTATATTTCACAATAAAAACATTGTGAATAACTCATAGAAATATAATATATTCTGTTTTACCACAAAAACGGCAGTTATAGCTATTTTTTCTGATATCTGAGCTTGTCTTTAGACCACGTGACCTCCATTGATGGCTATACTCTGTTAATATCTCTTAAGAGATTTTAACAAAAAACCAACCTTTTTAGAAAAAAAAACAGGGACTAACTTTGAATGTAAAAATGGATTCATTAACCATTGGTAATTATGGGAAAATTGTTGTTTACTCCAGGAAAATTCATTTTTTGGCCAAAACGAAAAGATATTATCCCTTTAACTTTCAATGAATAAGAAAATTGAATTCCCTGCTCTTCAATATATATGTATGGGATTGTACATATAATGAGATTGAAAAACTCCTGTCATATTCATAAAGATGTACATTTAAAAAATATATAGCCCAATCATAAGATAATATTAATGATCCATTAGAATAAATGTCAAAATTACCATTGGCATTTTCCCAGATTTATGTAGCACTACACTGGCCCCAGGAAAGTCTTTTTCTATCTTTGTTAATCTTTCAAAGAAACCACTGTCTTTGTATAACTCTGAAATAAACCCCTAGTGTTGGTGTCATATGCCATGGCCAGTCCAGGTTCGTATACCATGTTGCTGTCATGTGGAAAATTATTCAAGCAACTGTTTAATTAGTGTATTAATTGAATTAATAGTGTGAATAAATAGACTATGTTTTGATATTAAGTTTTTTAGAAAGCAAGACAATTTTCTTTAAAAATGCCAGAACACTTTATTCATCAAATAATTCACTTGTGGAACTATTCCCTCACTTCTTATTTTCCCAGCATCATACAGTCTCTGGGCAAATTCATCTACCAGACTGTTTACACCCTCTCTCACAGGGTCTAGTTCCTCTGGGCTGAAGAAGTCTTCCACTATTACATAACCCTGGAACATATGCAGATGTTATATCATAAATCAATGTACAGACTGAGTATATAAAAAGTTTATAAAACTCTGTATGGGTAAGTAGATCTTAAAATACAAATTACAATGGATACACTTGCATTATACATGAAACAGTAAGTCTACTAAATATATACTCAGTAACCAACATCAGACAGGTGCAGTAAAAAAAAAAAAAGCACTCAGAGAGCGCAGACCTCTGCCAAGACAGCAAAGTCTCCACCCAATGCCGTTTCACCCCTAAGTTTTCATTCTATAATGATTTAGTTTTTTTATTTTCGATTATTGATTGATAATGATCCTGATGACCACCAAAAACTAATCATCTGTTCCTTGGCCCACTTCTGACAGTTCCTGAAAATTTCATCAAAATCAGTCCATAACTTTTTCTGAAATGTTGCTAACAGACAGACAGAGAGACAGACAGACAAACTAACGGAACCAAAAACATAACCTCCTTGGCGGAGGTAATAAAAAAAAGTAATAATAACTTGGAGATTTCCATCACCTCAGCCATAATAAATTTTAATGAACTGTAGGGCACATTGGATATGATATTTTCAAATGTGTATCCACATGTGCATTACATTTACTCTAAAAAATCATGGAAAATTTACTAAGGACTACAATACTTAAATATGGAAAATAAACATCTTTATCTTAAATAAATGTGCTAAATACACGTAATTAGTTGATATATATTGTTTAAACTAGAGCAAAGATTTTACTTAAAAAAGTTATAACAATATGATGACATACAATAGAAGAGTAGTGAAGCTTTATAAAAGCATAAGTGAAGGTTTTATGTACCTCTTCAAAGAACTGCTTGATTTGCTTGTCACTCAGTTGTCCAGGTTTCTTCTCCTTGACTGGGGGTGGTATGGTGCAAAACAGTTCTGGATAAGCCTCTGAGATGTTTGCTGGTGCAATGTTGGACATATTGGCTGCGGTCTGTATATTATAACCAGCTGTTACTGCTGGATAAAAAAAAAGGAGATCAAACTCAGAACATCAGTACTTTACCAACTAATTAATTGTAACATCTTTCCTCCCAAAACACTCAAATACACAATGCATACACAATTAAGTGATTGCACGTACTATTAGGACCAATGCTAAACCTCTTAGTTGTTCAATGTAAATGACTTTCATTTCCATTTTTGTCCTTCAAAGACTTGAATTTACATGTATAAGCTTCCTCACCTCAAACCATCTCTAAAAGCCTCCTACACTGTAGGGAATATTTTGCAATGTACAATACTTCCAAGATAGCCAAAACTCTTGCCAATAGGCTTAATTTCAAACATCATTCAAGCTATATTTCATGGGATTTGGAGGGGGTGGGGTCAGAAATAAATTATGACAAACTAAAGCTAGCGAGTGCAGCATGACAACAAATTAAATACGACAGAAAATATACTTTTACACATATATTTTTCTGGGTGTTTTCACTTAATTTTAGCTGAATTACTGTCTTGACAATAGTATGAATTCCTCATGGCTTGTGTATCACTTTTGTATTGCTTTTCAAGACATCATGTACAAACCAGCACTCTAAAAATACCATGCTTGTGCTATCAAAGCAAGATATTTCCAAGTGTTTTCACTTAATTTTGGCTGAATTACAGTCTATTGCACAACAGTATGAATTAGTCATGGTTTGTGTATAACTTTTGCATTGCTTTTAAACCCTTTACATACAAACCAGCACTCTAAAAATATCATGCTCATGTTATCTAAACAAGCAGGTACTTTGAGAGATTCTTAAAAAAAAATAGAATTGTTTTGGTATATTTCTTGTGGTATACCGACGATATCTTGTGGAATTACTCACAATAGATTTCTTGCCTATGACCTTGGTTTCTCTCTTCACCTAGTTACCCCAGATAGTTAAAGTGCAAGCTTGCGCTAAAAAGATGACCTACATACTACACCAGCTGCAAGAAATATCCAGGCCTCATGAAATCCTGTCAGTGTTACATTCCTTGTATCTTATTTACTCTAGACATTACATTCAATTATCAACTTCAGCTGAGGTCAAGATGTTTTGCAGACAACAGAGTATGCGACCCCCACTTTCCTTGAGCAAAATATACTGAAACAAAACATAAACCCATGAATCCAAACTACTGAATGAAAATATACTAACTTACATGAAGTGTACTCAAATTTATGTATTATTTGTGTATTGATTAGTTTGTTTTGCTCAAATCAACTGGTAAACTTTCATTTGGCCTCCCAGTGAGTATACACTCTTCTTTAGGGGAAAACGGGGCTTGTTGGACTCCGGGGTAAGTTGCCTCCCCCCCCCCATCAAGTCTCTTTAATAAAGTTACTTAAAGATGCTAAATTATTTCATTGGGACTCACTGCAGACGCTTTCTTTGCACTATTGGATACGGTCACGTTATCAATTCTTTTACCCCATAGTTACTTTGTCATAAATTGATGGGGGCCCAACTTACCCCCGGTCTCCCCTAGTACATTTCCACCAAGTTGGGTAGTGGACGGACTTGTGACCCCCCCCTCCCCCCTCTGTGCTCTTGATGAAATTGCTCTGGAATTGATTTAAAATTGACTGTAACACCCATAAACTAATGTTTAATTATAAGGAATATATACTGTTATTGACATTATACTTTTTTTCCTCTGGCATTTATATTTTAGTTCAGTATAAATGCACTTTGTATAAAGATTCCTTATTTAAATGGGTTTATCCAAGAAAACCTTAAGTCTTGAGATTGTATAAATCAAAGCAAAATTTCACAGGATTTGGAGAAGCATGCAGTCGGAAACAATATCATATATGTATACAACAACAGAAAAAACTTAGAGTACAGGTTTTTAACTAAAAAATGGAATTTTTTTGCACAATAATAGACAAAATATTAAACCATAAAAAAGGGCCCAGTGATATTAGCCTGCAGAACATTCAAACAAAATTTGAAAAATCATAGGAGTCCATACTTTGCCAATATATAAATGGGCAAATAAAAACATGCAAATACATCATCAATCTAGTAACCTTGCTTTTTCTATAGTCCATTTGCTTCATTCATTATAAGAAAGTGACAAAAAGGAGTTTCCTATGTATGAGGAGATATAAAGCGATCATCTTTCCATGCAAAGCTGTTTGAATATCAACAGATTGTTTAATAAAATGTTCCATTCATTTATTGCAGCATTCTTCTTTGTTCAATTAAATTACAGAATTTTAGAATTTGATATGATCACAAAGAAAATGGTTAAAAGATACATATCATAATTATGACAAAATAAAGACTTGCATATCAGAGTACATTATAAAAGTTTTATAAAAGTAATCATGAATATATCATAAAAATGTTGAATTTACCCTGATGCATGACACAGAAAAGACTCAAATGTAACTTTGTAAGATAGAGATATTGAATTTTTTAGTTGTGCCTTCAAACAAGTGAGAAATCAGGCATAAGAAATTAATGTTTTAAAAACTTTTCATGTTTGTGCATATCATATGAGTACTTCCTTGAGTATGATAGAAAATATAATTGTAAAAAAAGGGCAGCACGTAAGTTTAAAAATCTAAAGTTCTTGCTTTAAGAAAAATGTAAAATTAAATCTTAAAACATACATATTTAGAACACATTTTATGAATCAACTTCTTCTGGAATGCAGTATCTGTAGTTATATAATTATAACAGACCAATCAACCCAATACCAACTTGTATATATATATATATATATATGTTCACTATTCATACTGTAGCAATTTGGTGACACTATTGGTTTGATTTAAATTCAATTCCTTAATTATATCATTTGCAGTGTTCATTAAATTGTACAATCATTCATAGGCTTGCTTCTGTTTAATGTTGTGTATATAAAAGTTAAACATTTCAAGAAAGTTCATCTCAAAGTTAAGCCTATTAAAATCAAAAGCAACTGCAACAATAAAAACTCATATATCATTTTGAAACAAAGTTGAAATAAAACTTTACAAGTGTCATTCAGTCATTCCTCAAAAATTTCTTAATATCAATTTGGACCCTGCTTATCACATTCCATCAAGTGGGTTAACTACCATAACAAACACTGTAAGCCATAAGATGTTCGTCATTGTCTACGGGTTTCCTGCCTGTCCTGTTGCTGCAAAACCTTTTGTGTGCCTGTTGTGATTAACTATGTCCCATTTCTTCATCCATGGACCAGATATAGTTGTGTTAAACTCATCCTCTTCCTATTATAAGCAAATAAACACAGAACAACTTTTAAAAGTTCTCATATAAAAGTTCTATTTGTAAATTTTACTGAATTAAATAGAAAACATTCCCATACATCTTGGAGAACCAAGTGCATACAGCATTCAAACCTATGCTCATTCATGTGTACAGAGAAAAGAATTATTATTGATACTTTTTATTGGGGGGGAGGTCAGTTAATTTAATGTAAATGCTTCCTGTCATTCAGTGTCCTTTATGTTAAAACATTTCCATGCACATCCGAAATGGCACCTTTAACTGTAACTTTACCTTATTCAGCGCTTTGCTCTGCACTGTAGTTCTATCCACTGCCAAGAAAGGCTCCCAGTCCACCTTTAAATTTGGATCTTTGGATGATCTTAAAAGAACTCCATCTTTCAAACCCCAGAATGCAATGGGGTCATGAAGGCTAGACCATCGAAGATCAAAGCTCCATCTAATGACACTGGAGTAGTTGTTCAGACTAAAAAAGAGATCTTCTTTTGCATTACGTGGGATATTGCGAGTCCAGACCATGATTTCTTCAGGTCTGACCTTTTGAAGTACAATCACTCATATTCAAAGTCATAATTTAAAGTAAAGAAAATTGGTATTTAAAATAAAAAAAAATAAAATTATAGAGTGTTTAAAATTATATATAATAATGTTTATAAATACTTACCTTCTGTGAGGGGTTAAATTGTTGAATAAAAGAAACCCTCCATAAGGCACAGGCACTGTGACCAGATCTTCATTCAGATCAACATCTGGATGGAGAATAATACATTTTTATTCAGTAATATCTTATTTACAAGTACTTTGATTACATTTTTCACAACATCAGTATGGGTCATGGAGGAGAACAAATATGGAGAAGTAAAGTAAAAATTACAGCTGATGGAGATGAGCAAATTATAAGGGTTGGAGAAAACAAAACGATCACACCATTGATGTCAAACCGTGTTAGAGACGCCATGTAAAACATGGGAATGCAGATTAATTTTGAGTTCAGGATTTTGCAGTTAAATCTGTAAGCAAACAACCCTGGGAAACATTGTCTAGTTTAATTTTATCCATGTGGTAAAATCATCAAATTCAATATTTGAGTAACAACTCTATCAATGGAAACCCATTTTCTTTTGCCATCCTTTCTTACCCAGAGATTTTTCCATCACCTCTTCATCCAGCATCACATACCAGGTGGGTCCAGCACAGCAGGTGTGGGTGGCCACCTTCCCTTTCTTATGGCCATTTTTCACAACCTGCAAACAGAAGTCAAAATGTTATCATGCAAACATAGATGTGAGATATACTGTATGTATTACTTTAAATCACAATCATGCCTTTGATATCCAGAGACAGATTCTTTAATACCATCTGCTAGACTTCTGATCTGCACCAGACCTTAGTGGTAAAAATGTTTTATTGTATTGGTAATTCTGACGTTGTGCACAACAGATAAGAAATATACTTCAAAGCCTTCATATCAAATTATTTAAGAAAAACAACTGGATTGAATGAATGAAAAAAAATGAGCTAACCATGCAAATCATTTTCCAACCTTTAGGAAGGATTATTTTAAATCGTGATCAATCCGTTTTTTTTTACAGTGTACATTACAAAGAACAAAAGTACAAAGAAAACCGATTTACAAAATGGAATGAAAATGTGTGATTGACCCAAAATATAAACATAAGTAGATAAAACAAGTGCTAGTTGACAAGATCGTCCATATTGGCCTATTATCAGAGTGCCAGATACAAGAAACTAACAGTATTGTCTTTTGTGACTTAATTTCTTCATTTAGCAGAACTGATTGACAAAACTGATTTCCTAGCCTAAATTTGCAAGAATTGAAATTACTGTTTTATAATGGTACTTGTTTTGATATTGATGCTTAAAATCACATACCTGCATACATCCATTATTTTCATTGGCATCCAGTAAAGGAATCCAGGCTGTTGGAATCATCATTCTGTAGGACTCATTGTCAAAATATGCAGAGTCTAACATTTAAAACAAATATCCATTAAGAAATATATAAAGGTGCCAAACTATGAGTAATATAATAAGCTGTTTATCTTGAAGTTTGTAAATATTACAGATTATGATTTAAGCAGATTTTATGTACAATGAACCATAAAATACATAAGAAAGTGCAAAACAGTGAAAGAACTATAATATTTATCTTGCTTCCTCTAATGACAGTTCATAGAAACTAATCACCATGCACTCTTTCGGCCAATCTTATTCCCAATTATCTGATTTCATTAATTAATCGAGACCCATGTTCAAATACTTTAAAATTAAAGAGTACAAAAATATTACCTTGGTGCCAAGGAACAACTGTGGCATCATTCTTTGGAGTTTTGGTCCTTAAATTCCACACAGGATGGCCCACAATGTCTGGACCAATCAGCTGCTCTACCACATTTAATAGCCGTTCATTGGACCACAAGTCTCGAACAGCCTGTAAAACAAGAGCAGAATTCATAATAATCAAGATCTCAGATCTTTTAAAAGTATGAAATCAAAATCGGTACAATTGGAGCATTGATTATATATATATACAACAGAATTATTTCAGGAATTCAACAAAAACATTTCCTCAAAATATCCAATATGTATCCTTACTTGTGGCATTTTCCCATTTTTGTGAAGAAGAATGCTTGCCCCTGGAAATTCTTTTTCCAACATTGTGAGTCTTTCAAACAGACCATAATCACTGTAAAGTTCTGCAATGAAATTGTGTAGAACTTACTACAGTTCCATAGTTAAACACACACAAAAAAAAAAAAAAAAACTCAAAGACACATGGGTCTTCTGTTTAACTTTAAAATTCTCTCTAACTGGGAACACTAAAACTTTGCAAACTGACAGAAAGACCAGACAAAATCGATAAGTCAGTACACCAGACTTCACAAAAGGCCAAGAAAACTGTCAGATATTCAGTCTGACAAGCTTGAAAATTCTGTCAGACTAAACAAAATCTTTCAGACCAAAGCAAAATTATACAAAAATGGCAAATTATTTGATTTTTTCAAGTTTTCAGGGATATTTTTATTGTTCATTTATGGACTCTTTAAATAAATTTTTCCATGTATTTCACACTCAAACTTTGCAACAATGCAAAACAAATAAAACAGATCACAATATAAATTCACAAGTTCATTCAGTCTACTGACCTGTTTACAACGAGTCAATGTTTTTTAACCAACTTAACAATTTTGTCTGGCCTAACATTATAATTAAAGTAGATGCAGTGCTAAAAGAATCATGGAAATTCAATTTAAGATGAAACACATTTTCCATAAAAAGACAAAAGTCTGGTATACCAGATAACAATTTGCTTTCATGTCTTTTTGTGAGTGTGTATCTGTGTTTATATCGGCTACTATGTATAGACACAAATTACTGTCATGTCTTACTTTTTACTTTTCCTGCCTTGTATAATTTTTGTGCAAGTTCTTCCACCAAATTGTCAACAGCGTGTCTCACTGGTTCAAGTTCCTCTGGTGTAAAGAACTCCTCAACTAATATATAACCCTAAAAAAAGAATCAGGTGATAAGTATATGGTATTTAAAAGTTAGATAAAATGAAAAAAAAAATCAAATTTACAACTGCTCAAAAAAGAAATTTACTCTTCCTAATAACAGCCTGCTATTAAAACTCTCACTCTCCCTCATCATTTTATTTCTCTTCACCTGGGAGATGGGATATTGATGTGGGCAATGTCATAAACTTTATAGCAAGCAGTAACAAATTGATGCTGGTAGTAACTAGTGTGATATCTAAAATCATTTTATGGAGCTTTTCATTTTCATCAAAGAAGCAGACAAGCATGGTGGAAATAATAATTTCAAATGGCCTAAATATCTTAAACATAAATTGGACAATTTTTATTTTTTAAAATACTCCTTGGTGGTGATGATACCACATGTTAGTAAATGCATCACTGCAATAAATGCAAAACTCTCAGCAGTCAAATTTTTGTTTTGCCTGTTGCCAGTATTGGTGAGTGGTGTGGATATCAATTTTAAGTTGGAGTGTGAACCCTCACTCTGCTGTCAAATTGATCGATTAATGGACCTAAACAACCCCTCTAGAATACCAGACTTGTCTACTACAGTGCACAAATTCACTTGTGGGCCTTTTGCCTCAGTTTTCGGTCTGACACGCTAGGTACTTACCGCTTAGCATGTAAGAAAAACACTGAAACAAGTAGACCCTACCACTAATACATGCATGATGTACTGCCAGTGAAAGTGGCACTGACCTCTTCATAGAACTGTTTTAGCTGTTCTTCGTTTAACTGTCCAGGTTTCTTCTCATTGGTTTGTGGAGGTATTGTGTTAAACACCTCTGGATAGACCTCTTTTACTACTCCTGAATCAACTGAGACATCCATAGAGTATAACGTACAGCTGTTTCACAGCACACAAACCACAAGCACTCCACAAGATGAAGACGTTTCAGCCTCGTTGCAGAAGTAGGTCACGCAGACAAGTACTTGGGGCTGGTGGGCTAGTGACTTACACAAATTATCAATTTCAAATAATTTATATGTCAAACGACGTGTTTTTTTAGTAATACATTTTGTATAAGTAATTAATGAAGATTTTTCTTCAAAATTAACCAAAGTCTTACATCTAAGAATCTTATCTTATCACCAAAGCCCACGTGCTCATTGTTTACTTTGCCTCGTTTTCAAATAACTTGCAGGAGAAGCCTTCTCCAAAAAATTGGTGTAAACAAAAAGAGTACTTAAAAAGAGGCTTCCTTCTAATTTGTGTAAAAATAGCAGACACCTGTCTCAGTGAAAGAATAAAAAACGACCATTTTACTGATAATATTGTTTAAAAGACTGTGCAATAGTATGATTGAAAACGGAAACATTATTATAACTTCAATGGGGTGCATTCTCATAAACACCATGGGTATACGTGGACTGACCCAAATCTGAGGAGACCCTTGCTGAGTGCAATCAGCTTGACACGCCTCTTCCTGGTGTTAAGTAGAATACAGCAAAGCTGGTGATCATATGAGTATGTTGGAAACAAATGGAGGCATGTCACTGAATTAAGCTGGTTGCACTTAGGAGTAGCTGCAGAGTTGTGTCGATCCATGTATCCAATGATGCCTTTAAGGGAATGGGGTCAAAGATAGGATTGAAAAGCCTGTTCACAATGTTCCAAAACATTACCAATATGCAGTTATCTTTTTCAAACATTTATGCTTTAATCTGCATTAGAAGTCCATTTTTGCCATAAATCCCACCGTATAGTTTCAATTGGTGGAACTTCAAGAAATACCAAAGGGCTTTGTTTTACATTTCCTGAAAAATTATATTAACATGGGTGTTTCGTGCTCTTTATAACCTTCAGTAGTTTAACTGCACATGCAGTAATGTACCATTCACTGTCATTCATTTTGGTGAACTTTCATGAACTGAAGGGAAGGGCAAGTAGGTAAATACATGGCAAGAAATTTGAAGAAAGTGCAGTTTTAAAGGACAGTTATGGCTGATCAAGTGATGAATTTTTGTCTCAGCTAGAGTTTATCCGAGCCATAAAATAAACTACTAGAAGTGTTTGGTTGCAAAAATTTTTTACAAGATTCTTATGGAGGGTAGCCAACTATGAGCTTCTCATTTCAGCATAAAGAATTCAAGCTAATAAGATTAGTTAACACATTTCATCACATAATCTTTATAATGTTTTTTGGCATAAAATTATTGATAAATCTGCTGGGCATAAAAGATGGGTCAGATTGTACTGTAAAACTGAAGAATCCAGGTACATTCCAGACAATACTTTTTTCCAATGAATGGTAATAAGAAATTCTACTTTACAAAATACTGACACATTTAACACCTCTTAAACAACAACTGTACACTAATAGCCCATTTTATTATATACAAAAATGTCAAATTTACATGATCTATATTTTTCCCCAATATAGGTGACTGTTAACACAAAGTTGAAAAATATTTCACAAATATTTAAATTGAGAAATGTGACCAATCTTTCTAATAATGTTACATTTCATTATGAAGCAAATTGCTATATAACACATAGAACATCTGTAAACAGTTGACAAAGTACATAAAAACAAATTCTAACCTTAGAAAATACCTGATTAGATACACTTATGTAATCTTTTTTTTTTTACTGAATAAAAAAATGCAACACAATCTATATTACTAATACATGTAAGTGGTTATACCCTTCTACATTTCACATAGTGTGCCAACATCAATTTTAGTCTTCATTATTCAAATTAAACTGCTACAAGTTTTTTTTGTACACTGCCAAGTCTAAAACTTGAAGACAAAAAGCTTACTATTCCCAATCTGTCAAAGATATCCCAAACATCTTCAAAATGATATTTTTTTGGTACAAGTCTAGCAGTGCCAACTTACTTAAAATAGAACATTGCCCGTTAAATAATCTTCATTAATGGGTATATCATTTCCAAATTCACTGCAGTCTAGAAATTTCTGAACAACAGCTGCATAATGGTTTGTGGTGAAATCTAATAGCCTTTAAAAGAAAAGTTCTTCAGTGAGGTCTATATACTTTTCACTGTTATTATGTACAAGGATTCATATCAGTCAGATGGAACTTTTCAAAAGGAAATGTTCACTTCTCCTCTACTTGGAGTATGACCCGTATCCTCCCCATCCCTGACTGTAACCTGACTGCCCACTCTGGCCATAGGAGCTTGGTTGCTGAGACCACTGGTTACCATAGCCACTCCATTGCCCTGATGAACTACCAGACTGACTGGAACTGCCACTACTTGCTCCCTGATTATAATAATTCTGTAGAAAAAAATACCAGTTAATACCAACTATCCATCCACTTCAATTCAAAATCAAGAAATTATACTTACTGCATCAAAAAATAGTAACAACAGTAGCCCATCTTTATGAATTTTGCCATAATTACTGTTGTCAAACTGACTTTTAGAATGTATAAAAATAGGAAGTAGAGGATTCTCAAAAATAGGAGTTTTATTGCTAATTTACAATTTAAATGGGAAATATTGTACTACAAAGTTGGCCTCTGACAGCTATCTTGATCCAGTATAGTTAATCAAACACATTTTAATTAGTTTACATGAATTGTAAGAAACTATATAGGTGTATCAAATGGGTGCCTACCTGCCCATAACCTTGGTTATATCCTCCTCCCCACTGGCCTTGGTTCCATTGACTGGACTGACCCCACTGGCCTTGTCCACCCCATTGCCCTTGTTGACCCCATTGTCTCTGACCACCCCACTGTCCCTGCTGACTGCCACCTCCCCAACTGCCTTGCTGTCCCCATCTACTTCCACCATAGCTGCCACCACCACCAGAATGGCGACTCTGGTAGCCCTGTGAAGACAATGTGGAAAATAAAGTGTACTGTTAGGAAAAAAATTTTTTTTAAATAATGCTAAATACACATGCATGTGCATGCAATTCAAACAAACAGTTAAGATGGAAGAACGCAAATAAAACCAAAATGGTCTGTTTGTGTAATAATAGGGAATATAAAAGACAGCTAAAAGACATTAACCACATCTTTCCTTGTCAATTTAATTTTATATTGAATGGTTCATTCATTTTCATCGTGATTTTTACCTGGCGATCATCTTTTCCGCCATAGTTATGTGCTCTATTTCTGTCATGAGATGAGTATCCCATGTAACCACCACCACCACCACGTCGATCATAGCCACCTAGAACAGATCAAATTTGTTAACATCTACATCACTCCATGTAATATCTGGAAATAAGAAGCAGAATTATCTGAAGAGTATAAAATTTCACATTTTAAGCTACCACTTGTAACTACTTCAAAGGTAACCAACCAGTATCTATACTCTTGATAGTCTGTAATGTCTACACTACTCAATGTCCAATATGGAAAAAAAGATCACACTGCTCAACAGTAAAATCTCATATCATGGTGTTTTTACAAGTTATTTTATCCCACAACATTTAACCAGCGTCTTCTGGAGGCAGATTTTCAGTTATGCAACACTCTCTCTAGATCTCCATTTTATACGAAGCAGAAGGTTGAATTGCACTGGTTACTGGGTCGAGATGAACTAACGATCAACAGTGACAAGATGATGTGTCCATCCTTGAGGCATTGAGCATTGAGGCTGTTCGTAAAAGTGGATGAACTACTTCATATAATGCTCATTTACCCCTGCCTGAATGAGATCTGCCCTGGTAGCCATGATGGTCTCCATAAGAACCTGAAGAAATTGTGAATCTTAAATACCCTGATAATCTTACTGAGTCCACTCTGTAGAGTACAGAGTAAAATAACTGTCACATAAAATCAAATACATACTTCAAAGCTAGTTGTCTATTTGCAACATTTTGTCATTATTGTCCATTTCTTTTGTGTATGTGTGGCATTGAGAGCCTCCATGTCAGTTGACACTCATGGCTTAAAGGCAGAAGTCTTTAAAAACCATTATAAATATAAATTGCCTCAATTTTGCTCAGATATAAACACTGGAAATTCTTTCTCAAAACATTCTACTGTAAAATGCTGTACACTCAAATAATGACCCTTGCAGCACTAACAATCAACCCCATACAATTTTTCAATAAGTCAAATTTTAGAAGTCTAAACAAAGAATTTGATGGAAGAGAAGAGATTGCAGAAAAGGTTAAACTTATATATTCCCTCATGCTTACTGATTTGAAACTTTGGTTTCTCTATGATAGATACAGATGCTTACTGCTCATTTGTCAGTCTGATCAATGTACAAACTTAGTGCACGTGCAAGATTTTGCTAACCACCTACTTCTATACAATATCTTATTAGTACATAGGTTAATGCTGTCATAACCTTATGTTCAATAAATTATACAGTCATTCAGATATATCTTGAGACAGTCTCCTAAATAACTATTCATCAAGCACAATAATTAATTTATGTAAAAATAAAATGAACATGGCTCATGCATCAATATCTAAATATAGTTTTCAAATTCTAACATGGCTGAAGACATTCTCTGCCTTAAGACACTAGGCAAGAAACACTCCTTGGATCCTCCAACAGAGAGGATGACCCACCCATTTTTTGTCAAACAACAAACTAACCTCTTCCTCCCCTTCCACGGTCATCCCTGCCTCCATATCTGTCCCTGAAGCCACCCCCGCGGCCACCACCACCACCTCCGTAGCGATTGCGATCTTGGTAACCACCTCCGCGACCCCTGAAATCACGCCTATCTCCACCACGGAAGTCACGACCTGAATTCATATTTTTCAAATTTTGAACTAAGGATATATGTGATAATAATACAAAAAATGAAAATAATTGTGAATATAAAACAAAGCTAACTATTTTCAACACTTTATTTAAATTCTAAGACCGACTAAAAAACAACACTGGATCATCAAAATCATTATCATCTTACAGCTTTTTTCCTAGCTTTTGTTTAAGCTGATGTCTACAATTTGAGATCAATTTTGGATTCATCAGACAGGAAAATTTCAGTGCATGTCTTATACTAAAGTCTCACCTCCACGCCTGTCATCACTGCGGAAACGTTTATGAGGAGGAAACATCTTCTGACCCTCCTCATTGTACTGTTTCACAAGCTTCTCAGCTTCTTCTTTGCTTTGCTCTACAAATTCCACAGCATCAAAGGGACTGCCAACCTCTGGCAGGTGAAAGTTAGCTGCAATTACAACCAAATCTAATATTAATTTAGTTTTTCTTTCTCCCCAGTGGGTTTTAAAGAACCTAGCCTGCTGTTTTGCACTTATTAGCAAAAACTGTGTGCTTGACCAAAACAGCAAACTAGGTTGCCTCAAAGCAAACATAGAGAAGAAGATATTGCCTCCAAGTCTCTGTTTGCTTTAAAGAACATCGATATCCTTCTGTCAAATAATATACATATAAACATGTGCATCTACTAAGGCTAATTGTCTAACCTACAACTGCCTGCATGCTGGGCTGACAAATCCTACCTTTCATTTCAAGTACTGCATGTTCAGGCACATCTTTGCCCTCCTCTTTCTCCCGACCTGCAATCCTCTCTTTGAACGTCTCATCTGTTGGTATTACCACTATAGCCTTGCGTTGAAAGCCTTCAAAAGGGCGCATTTTACGTCTCTGGGCCGATGGATACACATTTGTCTGCACATGACGGTAAAAGACAATAGGATATTCAATGTGTCTTGATTCTTAATTGTGTCCATACTGACACCATACTCCATTTGTTTTTTTTTTCCTTCTGCAAGATAAGTCCATAAGACATGATAGACTGGCCATCGGCCCCTTTGCTGTTACTCAGTACAGAGTAGCAGCTGACCATTTTCCTTGGGATATACTCACCTCCTACTGACTGGGTGGTACTAAACCTACAACTGAAATTTTTGACTCTTGTGAACTAAGCTTATAAGTAAACTGCCCTGATGTTTAATACACATATATATGTGTATATATATGTGTGTGTGTGCCATCTCTGCAGACTTAATTCCTTCTTGTGCTTGGCATATCTTTCTGCTCCATGCTACTGCTAAATCACGGAAAAAATGTGATTAGTTTTCTTGCTTAACAATTACATTCTACATCCTGTTGGATCATCACCATATAATGCTTAAGTACATTAGCATCCCAGTGCATTATGTTTTCTGTGAAGCTCCTGTTGTTGTGTATCCTCAGCCATTTGTCACCCCTCCATTAAAATAATGAAAAGCTACTCACCTTCTATTACTTTGTTCTTCTTCATGTCTACTCACCCCCTATCCCAGTAACCCAAAGGAAAATAACTTACCTGTACCTACCCATGTTAATCCTCTACTTCAGACCTCAAATGGTACTTACCCAAGTTTTTTTCACTTTTCAGCTTGGTCCACCATACACTTGCCCTCCCCAATTGACAGATAAATATTTAAACAGTAGGTTCACTCAATCAACCAAGGTCAGCTCACAATACATACCCTCTGATACCAGTTTGTGAAAAGTTTATTTACCACAAAGATATAACATAAGTAAATATAACATATGATACAAAAAGATACTGAATGAGATAAGCATGCATCAACTGTTGCATCATTAAGTTGAAGGTTCTTCACTTTATTAAGGCCATTTCCTTATCAGACTCCCATTATCCAAATGAAGCATAACTCAACATCCTCTTATGGTCTGGTTCTGTTACTCTGCCCAATACAAACTGCAAGTTGCTACTGAAATAAACTTCTGTGCTATCCACATCGCTGTACCGAAACTGCTGCATCAAATGAAAAACTTTCAGGTAAATAATTCTTTCTGCTTCTGCATAGCATTTTCTCAGGTTGTAATATTAACAACACAACTAACTGCTGAAAAAAATTCTCTTTCAATTGATTTCAACATTCCAGTTCATAATTTGCTCATGGGCAGGTATTATCTTAGATTAAAAGCATGAAAATAAAATGACAGTTTCACTGTGTAGTTTAGCATGACCTTTAGCTCTTTGTACTAAACAAATTCAACTTAAAAACCTAAAACAACTTGTTATAACTAAGATTTCAATCCTAATGCATCCAATGTGCTCTTCTTCCAGGATGAGCGTGCCTTCAATTAATGTGCAGGAGGCCCAGCTTTCAGAAAACAATAAATCTACTACCACAAGAGCTGCAAATCAAACATCCTCAGGATCACAATAACACAACTAACATGAAATAGAGGCATCTTATACAGATAATGAAGTAGTACTGAATTATGAACCTGCAAAAATTACAGGAACTATAATAACCTTTAAATGGTGTTGACATGTATATTATTATCTTAACTAACAAATAGTTCATTATGACCTAATACTTATAGAAACCTGGCTGAGTGAGTGAACCAAACTGCAATGACAAGAGGACTTATATGGTAATGTGAATCATATGAACTGCCCATAGTCATCATCCCACCCCACACCTTCTCTGCGCATAGAACATTGAAACTAAAAATCTGTTTTTACCTGATCTAAAATGTAGTTCCTTTTCTTTCTGGCAGCCACCTCCAAAAGCCTGTTCAGGCATCTTGTAGATTTGTCAATGAGAACGTCCCAGCGTCCTGCATAGTTCCTCTTGCGAGGCAAGCCCATCACCTGAAAGAAGTTATATCAATATTCTTGAAATTTGCTGGCACAGTGGTTTATTTTACCATTACAAAGAATTTTAACAGGGATGACATGATAAATGTTCAAGAACGGAAATGAAACGATACCAAGGACCCTGATATATTTTTTCATTTAATCATTGAACAATTGAAACAGATTACATTCATCTTCAATGATATTACCTTCATCTTATCAATAATGTTGTTTGTACCAAGAATGCAATATTGTTTATCTGGAAACTCTGCTACATGTTTGTTAGCCCAGTAGGTCTTGCCACTTCCAGGCAGTCCACACATCATAAGGACCTGAAGAGTCAAGCAGCAAGGAATATACAAGGAAGGCATGTGATATTCCTTTATTGAGATGGGGTCATCCAGCCAAGATTTTACACCTGAACACCTCACAGCTCAATTCAAACTTTTTTGTGGAGGTAGAATCCAATTCAACAAGAAATGCTGAAGAGGAAAAATACTGTACCAAACCATCAAATAGTGCTTTTTCTTTGCTGTTGTGATCAGTGAGATCTTGCCTGTAAAGACCCTCTTAAAAAACTAAATAATTCAGGCACCTCAGATTTTTGGCACAACTCATCAGTTCCAAGAATGTTGTAACATTTTTCCCTGTGTTCTTCTGAATAATTCAATGCCCATCTAGTTTTTCCTGATCCAGGTAACCCACACATCATTATTACCTGTATATGAAATTATTACAGTTCAGTAGATCTATCCAAACAAGAAGTCAACAGCTGAGAAAATGGTACAAACAGTAAGTCATATTTCATTTTCACTTATAATTTACCCTTCTTGGCAGGGAACATCAACAAATAGTTCTTGTATAATAGCAATCCACAAATAACTGTTCAGTAAGACAGAACCTGTTAACAAGAACAATAATGTAACATCAACTAAAAAAACATCTATCTGGGAGATACCTCACAGTCTTCCTTCTTTTCTGGTGGTAGTGCACCTCTCTGGCGGCTCTCTACTTGCACAGCATTCAGAAAAGTGAAGCCTTCCAAGATGGTACTCATTGGTTCCTCCTAGAACATACAATTGAAATCTATGAAGGAAATGATGACACACACTTTGCATAATGCCAAAAATTCTAAGACTGAATCATGGCTCAGAATAGCGTATAATATATGATCATCTTGCATCATTAAAATGTTGTCCTCATTGCCAAAGATTCGGTACGTCATGTAAGAACTGTTAAATCGACATCTTTTAATATTTTTGGCCATTGGCTGGCTATTTTGGTTGACCTGAATTTCACTAGCAGAATAACTTGAGTTGTTGGATTAAGCTAATTACTGAACCCGACAGGAATTTAGCATCTCAATTCTGTGCCAACTTACTTTCTGCCCAAAGTTGGCCTCAAATTCTGTGTTCTTTGTGAGGACATGGGGGAACAATGCTTTCCCTTCAAGTTCAGAGGCAGGGACTTCAAAACAGTTGCCTTGGTCAACACCATTCTTGGTGAATTTTATGATGACTGGATCACTCTCAAAGTCCTACAGAAAAATGGAAATAAGAATGAACACAAACACTGGCATTGTATCAAATTTGTTTTGTAAATCCACCACACAAGTTAACCCCAAATTTCGTATTCTTGGCTCAGAATAGTGTATTGTTGAATGATCACTGGCAATCACATTAACATATCCTTGCCATTGAAAATAAATAAATAAATAAATAAATAAATAAATAAATAAATAATAGTTAATTGATGACTTATTAAAGGTATAAATAAAATAATTGCAAAAAGAAAACTAAATTACCAAGACTTTGATAGTCTAAAATAAAATCTGCCAACAAAGACAACTTACCACATAAGCTCCTATGACATCTCCCTCTCCAAATGTCTCACCATAGTCATTGAATTTACAGTTTACTGATGATTTTGCAGTACCACCATAACCATAGGAATGGGGTTCTTCACCTGTAATTTGAAAGGCCTTCTTTACAAAAAATATCTGCATGATCATTAATCCAAACAATGTACCCGTTTACTTAGAAACTTCTGTTGCCAAATCTACTAGAAATTGGGAATACCAAAGGTGCTGCTTTAACCTCTATATAAGACTTGTAGTCAATATTACCAGCTCTTACCTAGCTGCATACTTGTATCCCCTGTAGACCAGCCAACACGGACCACATGTCTGCTCGTCTCTTCATCAGGGAGATGGTCTACTTTGATTTGCTCCATGATCTAAATACAACACATGAAAGTAAAAATGTGTGCAAAGAAGATTAATTAAATAATTATGTGTAATTCTCAGATACTCAAAATGTTTTAAAGAACTGNTGATTTTCAGTTATGCAACACTCTCTCTAGATCTCCATTTTATACGAAGCAGAAGGTTGAATTGCACTGGTTACTGGGTCGAGATGAACTAACGATCAACAGTGACAAGATGATGTGTCCATCCTTGAGGTGCAAAGCATTGAGGCTGTTCGTAAAAGTGGATGAACTACTTCATATAATGCTCATTTACCCCTGCCTGAATGAGATCTGCCCTGGTAGCCATGATGGTCTCCATAAGAACCTGAAGAAATGTGAATCTTAAATACCCTGATAATCTTACTGAGTCCACTCTGTAGAGTACAGAGTAAAATAACTGTCATATAAAATCAAATACATACTTCAAAGCTAGTTGTCTATTTGCAACATTTTGTCATTATTGTCCATTTCTTTTGTGTATGTGTGGCATTGAGAGCCTCCATGTCAGTTGACACTCATGGCTTAAAGGCAGAAGTCTTTAAAACCCATTATAAATATAAATTGCCTCAATTTTGCTCAGATATAAACACTACAAAAAGACTGGAAATTCTTTCTCAAAACATTATACTGTAAACTGCTGTACACTCAAATAATGACCCTTGCAGCACTAACAATCAACCCTATACAATTTTTCAATAAGTCAAATTTTAGAAGTCTAAACAAAGAATTTGATGAAAGAGAAGAGATTGCAGAAAAGGTTAAATTTATATATTCCCTCATGCTTACTGATTTGAAACTTTGGTTTCTCTATAATAGAAACAGATGCTAACTGCTCTTTTGTCAGTCTGATCAATGTACAAACTTAGTGCACGAGCAAGATTTTGCTAACCACCTACTTCTATACAATATCTTATTAGTACATAGGTTAATGCTGTCATAACATTATGTTCAATAAATTATACAGTCATTCAGATATGTCTTGAGACAGTCTCCTAAATAACTATTCATCAAGCACAATAATAAATTTATGTAAAAATAAAATAAACGTGGCTCATGCATCAATATCTAAATAGAGTTTTCAGATTCTAACATGGCATAAGACATATTCTCTGCCTTAAGACACTGGGCAAGAAATACTCCTTGGATCCTCCAACAGAGAGGATGACCCACCCATTTTTGTCAAACAACAAACTAACCTCTTCCTCCCCTTCCACGGTCATCCCTGCCTCCATATCTGTCCCTGAAGCCACCCCCGCGGCCACCACCACCACCTCCGTAGCGATTGCGATCTTGGTAACCTCCTCCGCGACCCCTGAAATCACGCCTATCTCCACCACGGAAATCACGACCTGAATTCATAAATATTTTTCAAATTTTGAACTAAGGATATACGTGATAATAATACAAAAACTGAAAATAATTGTGAATATAAAATGAAGCTAACTAACTAATGAAGCTAACACTTTATTTAAATTCTAAGACTGACTAAAAAACAACACTGGAACATCAAAATCATTATTATGTTACAGCTTTTTTCCTAGCTTTGTTTAAGCTTATGTCTACAATTTGAGATCAATTTTGGATTCATCTGACAGGAAAATTTCAGTACATGTAAGTCTCACCTCCACGCCTGTCATCACTTCGGAAACGTTTATGAGGAGGAAACATCTTCTGACCCTCCTCATTGTACTGTTTCACAAGCTTCTCAGCTTCTTCTTTGCTTTGCTCTACAAATTCCACAGCATCAAAGGGACTGCCAACCTCTGGCAGGTGAAAGTTAGCTGCAATTACAACCAAATCTAATATTAATTTAGTTTTTCTTTCTCCCCAGTGGGTTTTAAAGAACCTAGCCTGCTGTTTTGCACTTATTAGCAAAAACTGTGTGCTTGACCAAAACAGCAAACTAGGTTGCCTCAAAGCAAACATAGAGAAGAAGATATTGCCTCCAAGTCTCTGTTTGCTTTAAAGAACATCAATATCCTTCTGTCAAATAATATACATATAAACATGTGCATCTACTAAGGCTAATTGTCTAACCTACAACTGCCTGCATGCTGGGCTGACAAATCCTACCTTTCATTTCAAGTACTGCATGTTCAGGCACATCTTTGCCCTCCTCTTTCTCCCGACCTGCAATCCTCTCTTTGAACGTCTCATCTGTTGGTATTACCACTATAGCCTTGCGTTGAAAGCCTTCAAAAGGGCGCATTTTACGTCTCTGGGCCGATGGATACACATTTGTCTGCACATGACGGTAAAAGACAATAGGATATTCAATGTGTCTTGATTCTTAATTGTGTCCATACTGACACCATACTCCATTTGTTTTTTTTTTCCTTCTGCAAGATAAGTCCATAAGACATGATAGACTGGCCATCGGCCCCTTTGCTGTTACTCAGTACAGAGTAGCAGCTGACCATTTTCCTTGGGATATACTCACCTCCTACTGACTGGGTGGTACTAAACCTACAACTGAAATTTTTGACTCTTGTGAACTAAGCTCATAAGTAAACTGCCCTGATGTTTAATACACATATATATGTGTGTGTGTGCCATCTCTGCAGACTTAATTCCTTCTTGTGCTTGGCATATCTTTCTGCTCCATGCTACTGCTAAATCACGGAAAAAATGTGATTAGTTTTCTTGCTTAACAATTACATTCTACATCCTGTTGGATCATCACCATATAATGCTTAAGTACATTAGCATCCCAGTGCATTATGCACAGTTTTCTGTGAAGCTCCTGTTGTTGTGTATCCTCAGCCATTTGTCACCCCTCCATTAAAATAACGAAAAGCGACTCACCTTCTATTACTTTGTTCTTCTTCATGTCTAGTCACCCCCTATCCCAGTAACCCAAAGGAAAATAACTTACCTGTACCTACCCATGTTAATCCTCTTCTTCAGACCTCAAATGGTACTTACCCAAGTTTTTTTCACTTTTCAGCTTGGTCCACCATACACTTGCCCTCCCCAATTGACAGATAAATATTTAAACAGTAGGTTCACTCAATCAACCAAGGTTGGCTCACAATACATACCCTCTGATACCAGTTTGTGAAAAGTTTATTTACCACAAAGATATAACATAAGTAAATATAACATATGATACAAAAAGATACTGAATGAGATAAGCATGCATCAACTGTTGCATCATTAAGTTGAAGGTTCTTCATTTTATTAAGGCCATTTCCTTATTAGACTCCCATTATCCAAATGAAGCATAACTCAACATCCTCTTATGGTCAGGTTCTGTTACTCTGCCCAATACAAACTGCAAGTTGCTACTGAAATAAACTTCTGTGCTATCCACATCGCTGTACCGAAACTGCTGCATCAAATGAAAAACTTTCAGGTAAATAATTCTTTCTGCTTCTGCATAGCATTTTCTCAGGTTGTAATATTAACAACACAACTAACTGCTGAAAAAAATTCTCTTTAAATTGATTTCAACATTCCAGTTCATAATTTGCTCATGGGCAGGGTATTATCTTAGATTAAAAGCATGAAAATAAAATGACAGTTTCACTGTGTAGTTTAGCATGACCTTTAGCTCTTTGTACTAAACAAATTCAACTTAAAAACCTAAAACAACTTGTTATAACTAAGATTTCAATCCTAATGCATCCAATGTGCTCTTCTTCCAGGATGAGCGTGCCTTCAATTAATGTGCAGGAGGCCCAGCTTTCAGAAAACAATAAATCTACTACCACAAGAGCTGCAAATCAAACATCCTCAGGATCACAATAACACAACTAACATGAAATAGAGGCATCTTATACAAATAATGAAGTAGTACTGAAGTATGAAATCTGCAAAAATTACAGGAACTATAATAACCTTTAAATGGTGTTGACATGTATATTAAGACCTCCATATATAATATAAACAGGTAATTATCTTAACTAACAAACAGTTCATTATGACCTAATACTTATAGAAACCTGGCTGAGTGAGTGAACCAAACTGCAATGACAATAGGACTTATATGGTAATGTGAATCATATGAACTGCCCATAGTCATCATCCCACCCCACACCTTCTCTGCGCATAGAACATTGAAACTAAAAATCTGTTTTTACCTGATCTAAAATGTAGTTCCTTTTCTTTCTGGCAGCCACCTCCAAAAGCCGGTTCAGGCATCTTGTAGATTTGTCAATGAGAACGTCCCAGCGTCCTGCATAGTTCCTCTTGCGAGGCAAGCCCATCACCTGAAAGAAGTCATATCAATATTCTTGAAATTTGCTGGCACAGTGGTTTGTTTTACCATTACAAAGAATTTTAACAGGGATGACGTGATAAATGTTCAAGAACGGAAATGAAACGATACCAAGGACCCTGATATATTTTTTCATAAATAATCATTGAACAATTGAAACAGATTACATTCATCTTCAATGATATTACCTTCATCTTATCAATAATGTTGTTTGTACCAAGAATGCAATATTGTTTATCTGGAAACTCTGCTACATGTTTGTTAGCCCAGTAGGTCTTGCCACTTCCAGGCAGTCCACACATCATAAGGACCTGAAGAGTCAAGCAGCAAGGAATATACAAGGAAGGCATGTGATATTCCTTTATTTAGATGGGGTCATCCAGCCAAGATTTTACACCTGAACACCTCACAGCTCAATTCAAACTTTTTTGTGGAGGTAGAATCCAATTCAACAAGAAATGCTGAAGAGGAAAAATACTGTACCAAACCATCAAATAGTGCTTTTTCTTTGCTGTTGTGATCAGTGAGATCTTGCCTGTAAAGACCCTCTTAAAAAGCTAAATAATTCAGGCACCTCAGATTTTTGGCACAACTCATCAGTTCCAAGAATGTTGTAACATTTTTCCCTGTGTTCTTCTGCATAATTCAATGCCCATCTAGTTTTTCCTGATCCAGGTAACCCACACATCATTATTACCTGTATACGAAATTATTACAGTTCAGTAGATCTATCCAAACAAGAAGTCAACAGCTGAGAAAATGGTACAAACAGTAAGTCATATTTCATTTTCACTTATAATTTACCCTCCTTGGCAGGGAACATCAACAAATAGTTCTTGTATAATAGCAATCCACAAATAACTGTTCAGTAAGACAGAACCTGTTAACAAGAACAATAATGTAACATCAACTAAAAAAACATCTATCTGGGAGATACCTCACAGTCTTCCTTCTTTTCTGGTGGTAGTGCACCTCTCTGGCGGCTCTCTACTGGCACAGCATTCAGAAAAGTGAAGCCTTCCAAGATGGTACTCATTGGTTCCTCCTAGAACATACAATTGAAATCTAAGAAGGAAATGATGACACACACTTTGCATAATGCCAAAAATTCTAAGACTGAATCATGGCTCAGAATAGCGTATAATATATGATCATCTTGCATCATTAAAATGTTGTCCTCATTGCCAAAGATTCGGTACGTCATGTAAGCACTGTTAAATCGACATCTTTAAGATTGTAATATTTTTGACCATTGGCTGGCTATTTTGGTTGACCTGAATTTCACTAGCAGAATAACTTGAGTTGTTGGATTAAGCTAATTACTGAACCCGACAGGAATTTAGCATCTCAATATTCTGTGCCAACTTACTTTCTGCCCAAAGTTGGCCTCAAATTCTGTGTTCTTTGTGAGGACATGAGGGAACAATGCTTTCCCTTCAAGTTCAGAGGCAGGGACTTCAAAACAGTTGCCTTGGTCAACACCATTCTTGGTGAAATTTATGATGACTGGATCACTCTCAAAGTCCTACAGAAAAATGGAAATAAGAATGAACACAAACACTGGCATTGTATCAAATTTGTTTTGTAAATCCACCACACAAGTTAACCCCAAATTTCGTATTCTTGGCTCAGAATAGTGTATTGTTGAATGATCAATGGCAATCACATTAACATATCCTTGCCAATGAAAATAAATAAATAAATAATAGTTAATTGATTACTTATTAAAGGTATAAATAAAATAATTGCAAAAAGAAAACTAAATTACCAAGACTTTGATAGTCTAAAATAAAATCTGCCAACAAAGACAACTTACCACATAAGCTCCAATGACATCTCCCTCTCCAAATGTCTCACCATAGTCATTGAATTTACAGTTTACTGATGATTTTGCAGTACCACCATAACCATAGGAATGGGGTTCTTCACCTGTAATTTGAAAGGCCTTCTTTACAAAAAATATCTGCATGATCATTAATCCAAACAATGTACCCGTTTACTTAGAAACTTCTGTTGCCAAATCTACCAGAAATTGGGAATACCAAATGTGCTGCTTTAACCTCTATATAAGACTTGTAGTCAATATTACCAGCTCTTACCTAGCTGCATACTTGTATCCCCTGTGGACCAGCCAACACGGACCACATGTCTGCTCGTCTCTTCATCAGGGAGATGGTCTACTTTGATTTGCTCCATGATCTAAATACAACACATGAAAGTAAAAATGTGTGCAAAGAAGATTAATTAAATAATTATGTGTAATTCTCAGATACTCAAAATGAATTGAATTTCCAGCATTTACCTTGACCTCATAGCAGACCTTCCCTTCCTTAACTCCCCACATAGCTCTTGCACCTGCCCACATGAATGCAAAGCCTTCCATGGTTAGAGGAACACATTTGAAACCATCCTTGTCAATCTTCAGATTCAAGTCAGAGTTATCTGGAATGATGCAATTTTTTCAGTACAAAGAGTGCATAAATAAAATTCTACAGATTAAATGTGACAATTTACTATTCTATAACATAGACTCATGTCCCTTTGTAATGTATTATATGTCCAAGACAGATATTATGCCAAATACTTTGACTAACTTTTTCTATGCCAATCACATCTGTGTAGCATATCTAACAAACATGTTCTTTGAGCCTTTTGCGAACAACTCACATCTGTCCCACTGTACATCTGTAGCACTCAGCCATTCTTCACTCTCTTCTTCCCTTGGTGGACTTTTCCCCCTAAAATACACATGGACAGCATTGTAATAACCAATTATAGTGCCTATCAAAGGTCCATTTCTATATTATGCCATACCTCAGGGCGAGCAGGCATGAGTTTCCCCCCAATTTATTCATAAGTATGTCCACAGTACTTGCTATTAACAGAAAAAATGCTTGAGAAATGTGCACCAATGCATTGTAAAGTACCTCGGGGAATGTCTGTGCCTATCTCTTGACCTTGACCTAGACTTCTGTCTGTGGGGTGAGCCCGATTTCCTTCTGCTCCGGTCCTTTGATCGACTTCTTGAACGAGATCTTTTCCTGCCTCTCTTCTCTTCTATAACACAAGACAATAAAACACCATAGATTTTAAGAACTGCTTACTCTCATGTGGGTCTCAACTCCATTACATGCAAAATTTTTTCAATGATACTATCAGTATAGAACACAATTATACCCCCCCCCATTTTTTTAATGAGGCTGGCCACAGTCATGACACACTAAGTAATTTTGATTTACCTTTTATTAGTGCTATACAAATTAAAGCTTCCACTTGCCCAAAAACTCATAAAACTACTACAATGAAAGCAAAACTAAAAAAAATTTACAACTGCACACTTTACCTATACGTTGTCTTGCATGCACTTCTACAGAGACCCATATCAAGTAGTTTCAAAATGTTCTGTTCAGCACACTTAAGTTACCTTTGTTATCTTGGTTATTATCTTCCCGTTTCACATCATCCTCTGCCTTTTCTTTTTCCTCCTGCATCTCTTTTTGTCTATCCATCTTCTCTTCAGTTTGTGCTACATCTACAGCACTCACACTATTACCTTGTTCCATAGATTCTTCCTCTTCAGCTGGTTGTTCGGATGCTTCTTCACTCTTTTCATTCATTACTTGGTCAGCACCCTCTTCCTCTTTGTGGTTTTCTGATTCCTGGAGTTAAGAATTTTATTCTTTATTTTCAAAATTAAAAAGTACCTTAATATCTCAAAGTTCTTGCTATTCAAAAGAAATATTAGTAGTTATTCACCACAACAATAACATTTTGGTTAGGTAGCAATGTTTCAATTTACATTACGTAACATTGAGCTTTTGCAGCATTTCTCCATTACTGCACTTCTCCCACTTCTCTCTAGGTTTAACCTTCTTTAAAAATCAAATGCAGCAATCAAGCCAATGTTAATCAAATTAAAAGACTTACAAGAAAAGAAAGCTGGTGAAAAGCTTTATGTAAAAAGCCACCCCTCCTCTCTTCGGTTTTCATCAGAAACCAGGCACTGGACAAAATCACTCACCCAAAGAATTTTTCCAAATTCCATCTTCTTTATCTTCAGTTCTCATTCTTCAATTGGATTTCTCATTAAATTGGTAACACAATTGGAAAAAATTTCCACAACAGACCATTCTTACACAACACCAGATTTATTAAATCGATACATTCCACAACCAATCCCTCATGCCTTCCTGTCACTTGTAGATCACAATGTAAATTTGAGAAGCCCCAAAACTGTCAAAAGTTTCCATTTCAATTGACAGAGATAATGCATACAGGATTCACAGGTTGATTAAAAATTGTGTTATTCCATTCAATAAGATTGATTATCACATCTTTTTGATGAATCAATTCATTTACATCAAAGTCAAGCCCAAATAAAAGAACACATACATTAACAGAAATAATAACCAATGTCCACGACAAGGCTCTTCAAGCTTAAATATATTATTCTCAAGCGTCTGTACAAATCTCTTCTTTTCTTTACAGTTTATAACTTATGTTGGTAAGGCAGCTCTACAGGCTTCCTGCTGGCATAGCTTTTAACCAAGTGTCTTCCATTCTTCCAAGACATTTATATACACAAGTCTTAACTGTCATCTTCAACCATAAATGGATATTTTTGTGTGCAATGATATTGTAATTGTATATATGTGCTAATTAACACTGTCCCCTTCAACTGACATTTTCATTACATACAAAAAGCTTTACATATATAAAATAAAAATTCTATGACCATCAAAATTCAGTGTACAGCAATTATTATTAGCGAGATATTAAAATGTCATAATTCCTGTACCTTCAACTAGGTCCATAAATTCAATATTAGTATCTCTTGTTATGTGGACAACAAGAGCCGGTATGTCCTCTACGACCACAGCCAAGGCATAGTTTAGTAAGAGACAAGCACACCACATCAGCATGACCCTCTCTACCACATCTATAACAGGTGCCAGTAAAATGGCAACCTTCATGGGCACTGTGTCCAATGCGACCACAATGCCAGCATTTGTCTGGCCACACATGGGACAAGTTGAGACGAACTCCAATCAAGGCATCATCCCACTGTCTGCCTGCTATTTTCACCACATCCTTCACTACCTTTCTGAGGGCTCCAAGTTGCAGGTTCACCCCACTCACTGGATCTATCCAGCCTTCTTGATTACTGTTGCCATCAGCTCCCCTCATCTGGCTGGCTATGCTGTAAAATGGTGTCTGGTATTTACTGCTCAGGAGACGGCACATGTTGTCCAGATGGTCGGTGTGGTCAGCTGGAATGTCTTGCCTATAACCAGGGGCCACAATGATTGGCTTCACATGCATACGGTGCAGAAATGCTATCAACTCCTCATAGACAAAACTCACTTTTCCAGTGATCCAAGCTATGATACTCTCATTTGGTACCAGCTGGTAGTCGGCCAAGTCATTGGATCCCATACAAATAGCTGCCCATTCTGTATTTTCTGCAAGGTCATTGGTTGCAAGGACATGTTTAACAATCTCACTTGCTCTTCCTCCTGCTATAAATCTGGCTTCCACAGAAAGTTCGTATAACAGTCTTATGATGTCAGCATCTTCTGCCAAACCTTTCAACAAATTATCTCCTATGAAAACCATTGGTTTAACATGAACAGAAAAGGCCAAGGGTACAGAATATTTGGCCCTCTTACGGTCAGTGCCCCTGTCACTGCTCTCTCTTCTTGAATTACTCTTTTCCCTTTCAAAAGGTCTCTTCTCTGAACTTCTTTGTTCATTTTTATAAAGTGCCCTATATCTGTCAGCTTCTTTCTCCAACCCCTTTATCTCAGCTTCTTTCTCCTTCAGTTTCCGGGCAAGATAACGAACCTCTTTCTTTTGCTTATCTACTTCATGTCTCAGGCGCTCTTTTTCCTTCTCAGATTGATCTTTCATTTTTTCAAACTTAAATTTGGTATCACGCAAAACCATTTCTTTGCGCTTTATTTCACCTTTCAATCCAATGGCCATGTCCTTTCCATTGCCATCAGTTATCTTACCAGTCTCCAACTTGATTATATAATCCTGTGAACTTCTCAGCTTCTTCTTCAGTTGACTATTCTCCAATGTGATTCTCTTTACCTCCTCCTGTAATTTACCCCAATCTCTTGCCATTTTCTCAATCAGCAACTGGGATTCTCTGCACTTAAAACACCTCCAGTGCCTGTGCCCAATAGCCTTCTCATCCTCTTCACCAAGACAATTTTTATGATAGATTCTAGGGCAACCATCACATTTCACCCATTCTTTCTTCTCTTGGTCTTCTTCCTCATCTTCCTCTGTCTCTAGGCAGATAGGACAGGCATCCAAATCTAAGTCTTCTTGGTCAAAGTTGTCTCCGGACACCTCTTCTACTACAACCATATCTTCACCCTGATGGGAAAATATAGCCTGCTCAACAAAACTTATTATTCTTAATAATTACTAATGCAGTAAGGAGGTACCTTAATTATAAACTAAAAAATACAGAGCAACCCTCTTTGATATCTCTCCACCACTGCAACTAAACAAAACATTTCAGTATGCAGGAAAAAAACTTTGTTAACTTCTCTCAAATAACCTACCTTCCTTTAAAACTCTTGGTTTCATTGTATGAATGAAAATTTGAACCTGTTTTATCAAGATACAGTTGTATGAAATATGCTATTTCAGAGTGGGAATCTATTTAATCGAATGGGAACCAAAAAAGCCCGAAGTCTTGCGGCTCAGGATAAAAATTAAGCGAGAAGCATGTATTCACTACGTTTTGCTTGTTATGATATCATGCAATAATTGGTAGCCCCATTTCACACTATCTTTTAATGGTTTCCATGATAAATAAGTCTAGTTTTTTTCTGGTTCCAATTGCTACTTACAAACTTTATGTAAGGTCATGTGTCATGAACTGGTGTCTTAAAATCAAGGAAATGTTTACACAAACTGAAATATTTTCCTTTGGCGCAACTAATGTATTTGTTGCAGTATAAACCATGGCTTTCTTGGAACCAGCTTTTAGCATTTTTTGTCTATTTTCAGGGAGAAAATATAGATGGGACACAGTAACTTAGACCCTTGCAGCACACTGAAAAAAGGTATTTGCAATACTAATGTGAAAGCAATGATACTTTCAAACACTATATATGACAAGTAGTTCCAGTTTTATGATGAGTTTTCTAAGGAAACCCACACAACAGGAAATATTACCCATGTAACACAAATAAGACCAGTTCAGGACGCATGAACATACAAGCTTGCTACTTTATATTGACAACAAATGATAACAAAGTGCATTACTATCAAAAAACACAAAAATACTCAAAGTTGCTCCATTACTAACATTAGTTTGCATGTAACTTGCCAATGTCATTGATTTTCACAAAAATCTTATGACATATTGCATAGAAATGTTGACATGTAAGGTTGGGAAGTGAACAATGGTATACAACATGAACTGGGTCATTGCTCAGCCAGAGGCATTTATATATCATTTTGACAACTGTATCCACAAAGAAATGTGGAAAGCAAAGTTTAAAGTTTAGAGCAGAACAAAAAGTTAGTCATTCATTCTTACCTCTTCCTGTTGTTGTTCTTCTGGTTGTTCACAAGTATCTGCTGCTGGCTCTGGTTCATTTTCTAATTCTTCTTCCTGGGGTAGTTGTTCTGGTTCTACGTCTGGTATTTCTACAGGTGCCTCTCCCTTTCTGGGTGAAATGGACTCATCTAAGTCTTGACTCCCATCATCTGTTGTATCAAGAATAGAGTCATCCACCTGGCTGTCATCTGCTGGAATAACCACATACAGCAATGAGTTTTGTTTAACATTTTTTAAAGAAATTCAAGACCTTCTCTTCAAGTTTTGTATTTTACATTTCACAAAAACAGAAATTTTGAAGTGATGATGGTTTACAAGAACAATTCATTTCTCACATTTTTGATGGGAAACAAGCCCTTTTCAAGGCAATAAATATAAGCAATACAATATAAAGTGCTTTTCAGGGCAACAAATTCATTGTGCAGATCTTAACTCAAACACTTTTCAAGCCTGGTAAGCCATACTTACAGCAGGCCTAAAGTTGAAGGAAATACAGACTCTTAATTATTTTTGTTGGAATCAATATTATTCTGTGGTGACCATTTTTTAAAATAAACTAAATGGAATGAGATTGCATTCCCTCAATTTAAAACCCAATTATGAGATTTGAGTTAAGTGGCTACATAAAGGGTTTACCGGTCTCTATCCCTTGTTCTTTGTCTAATGCATTCTGCAGTCTTTTCACCAACTGGGCTTTGTTTCCTTTGCTGTCCAGGCCTCGCGTCTTTAGTTCCTCCCTCAACTCCACAACCTTCAACTTTTTTGGATCAATTTCACTCATGATCGTAATGCTTCCTTCACCTGGAATATCCATAGTACTCCTTCTTTAAAATTCCTTTATAAAAACATTAATTAAACGACATGAGCTACTGAAATTTCCAGAGCATTTAAGAGTAAAATAACCGGCTTGCACTTACCAGATCATTCAAAATGGCGGCACATTGAAGCGTGGGCGATCGCAGCGCCACATTTAGCAGTCGGAATTTTTATTAAACTCTTTTTCATTGGTTAGATTTCTTAAGCACTTCCTTGTAAATCAACCATATAAACCATAGCGGAAACTTATTCAGTACTGTTAATGAATCCTAATATGACTACAAACATACTTTGACTCTAATTAACTATAGACTGTTACTTAATTCCAGCTACTATAGAATATGCTGAGGGCATTGTTGGTGAAGAACTGACCAAGGACTTAAAAAACAACAACAAATCAAAAAGCAGTTTGGAAAAAGGGAGCAACTGACAGTTTGCATGGAGTTATCTATACATTATAGATTCATTGGTTATATTTATTCATAATATGAAATTTGATGAATATGTAATTGATATATTGATGTTATTTAGCTTTCTAAATACAACTTTATGTTCTGGAGACAAAATGCATAATTGTTTTGTGAACACTAAGAGCTTCTCCCTCCAATGCGCAGCTGAGAGTTCATTTTGTTATTTACTGCGCAGGGTAGCAACACATTAGTTTACATCATGGCGGACGAAAAGGAAAGTTCGGGTGAGTTAAATTTCTCGTTTTAGTCACTACTTGAAACGATACAAAAATACTCGATTTCGCATATTACCTGTATTTGTATTTCTAACAGAATTGTAATTGGTTTTACATATTTTATAGATAACTATTTTTTATTTATTTGAAAAACTTTATACCACTATACACTACTGTATATATATATATATAGGCCAAATACACAGCAAATTTATTTTTAGAAATGATTTTTTCATTTAAATCCTTATTCAAAACTTATGAAGAGAGGGGTACTGATGTGTGTGTGTGTGGAGGAGGGGGGTATAGATATGGGGAATACCATGCAGATACTTATCAATGCTGGTAAGGTAATTTTCCTAATGGTGTAACTGTTAACTCACAAGTCCACCTGTTTGCAGATGACTGCATAGGGGCTTACTTTACAGAATCAGAACCATTAGGAAAATTACTGACTACATCTTTTGCAACAGGAATTGACGATCTTTAAACATGGTCTACAGCATGTAATAGGAAATGTCCTTTAATGCTAAAATGCTACATGTATATCAACCAAAAATCCTCTCATTTTTATCAACTTAAAAAAAAAATCATACCTGTACATGTATATATATTGGAACAAGTTTCCAAATGTCTTTATCTTGGTGTAACTCTTTCTGGTTATATGAAATGGACCCCCACATTAGAAAAGTAACTGAAAAAGCTAGCTGCTCACTCAGTCTCCCCCCCCCCCAAAAAAAAAGGGGGGAAATTAGTCTGTCAGTCTGTAGCAGTGGCAGATTAAAGGAGTGTATCAGGGGGTCCTGCCCCCCCCTTTCAATTTCTGAAAAAATCAATGGTCTCCTCTTGAAATTAGAATTACTGTGATTAGTTCTAAATTGTACCAAATGGCACCTTTCGGCCTTTAAAAAACCAAAATTTTCTGGGGCCCTTCAGCTTCCCAAACCCACGCCAAAGGAGCTAGGGTGGGGGTGGGGGGCGGGGGGCTTTGCCCCGCCCCCCCCTTCAAATAATCCTGGGTCTGCCCCTGCTTAGTCCCCTCTACACTAGAGTACAGTCTTATAGTCTGGGATCCCTTTAACCAGAAAGATATTGACAAAATTGTTCAAAGCTGAGCAGCACACATCATAACAGGTGACTAAGCTGACAGAAAGCATTGGGTCTGGAAAGGCAGCTCGAAGTTAAAGCTGAAATAAAGAAAAAGAAAAGGCTTGGCAAGTGGATTTGTTAAATGTTTGAGTATACTGTATAGTAGGTAATAATCATTGTTCATTTGGCAAGTGGTTATTATTCTGTATGTTTTATATATATATATTATGTCTTATTTTGTTTCAATTTTTCACATCAGAGTCCATGATAGCAGATGTGCAAAAAAGAATAACAGATGCATTTGACATTTTTGACCATGAATCAAATAAAACAGTTGATGTCAGGTATGTCACACAGTAACAATTCTGTTTTAATGTAGTAATGGTTGATGAAGAATTGTCTACATAAATAAAAAGACTCATAATTAGTTTTTGTATTTTTTGTATGCATTTCTTAATATGTTATATGTTTTTCTCGTTAATTTGGCATCATGTAACATGTATGTTAGGTTAGTCATTATTCATAACTACTTGAATAGAAATAATATAAAGAATTTATCATTTGCCTTGTGTAGGGAAGTTGGAACAATTGTGCGGTCCTTAGGCTGCTGTCCAAGTGAAGCAGAGCTGCATGATATGTTGGAGGAGGTAAGGGGATAGTCTTTGGGGATAACTTTAGATGCCAGCCATATGGTCACCATTCACATGTATATTGATAATTAAGGAGAGAAAGCAATCAGTCTCAGGGGCGGATCCAGAGATATTTTCTGACAGTCTTCCAAATGATCTTTGTTGATCCATGCACCATTTTTGACCATCTTCCGACAGAAAAAATTAGATACCTTTCATTGTAAACTTGAAAATCTGACCATCTTTCAGAAGATGCCTTAATCCACCCCTGAATCTTTTTTGCAATATATTTGATATCCAAACCAGTTATGAATTTCAAATATGCACATCCAGAACAAGCAGGTGGCATACTACAAATAGAAGATGATTATTAGTCGATTATCTTTTCATGAAAACAATATGTAGGATGATTTGTGATTATCTTTTCAGATTGAGGAAGAAGAACCAACTGGATACATTAGATTTGAAAAGTTTTTAGCTATGATGACTCATGTTTTAATGGAGAGAAGGTAATTAATGGTCACCAATATGAAATAATCCATTGAAACACATCTTTTCTGGACATTTTGATAAAATGAGTCATTCAATAATACTGCCACATTTTGTTTTTGTTTGCTTACATTTTTTGTTTCTTTTCAGGTACAAACCTTCTCCAGAGGATATAATTTTAAAAGCATTAATGACATTAGATGTTGAACATAAAGGGCATTTAACCCAGGAAGAGATTACAAAATATATGACAACAGAAGGTAAGTACTGAATCCAGCATAAGTGATTTTAATGCAGTAAAATGTGAGATGGTATACTAAAGCATACCCCATTTAGAATGAGAGCTGTGATTTCCATATAATCTTGATCATTTCTGATTGTAGAATTCAACAGGTCTGTGTCACAAAAATCAACTGAAGCAAAGAAGATAATTATGTTTTTTATGGAAAACTCTATGAAAATCTCAATGGGCCATACAAAATGTGACTATTAAAAACAGGGGCAATAAATCAGAAAAATGTCATAAATAAAATAACATTTAGCAAAAGTACTAGGTTAAAAATATTATTAAATACTTTGTAAACATTTTAAAAAATGTACTTTACTGAAGTTTCAAAAGTCAGTATTTTTGCTTCACATTTTGTTACCAACAAGTTATTCAAAAGTTTAGGAATATACATCTGAAATGCTTTGTCCCCACTTTATGCAATTGCTTTCCTATCAACAGGTATTAACATGAAAATCAATAAATCAAGATCTAGACATCTTTTCTGAATGTTTCTCCTGGATATATTTTCATTTGACTGGGCATTCAGTTTACCAAAGATTAATTTTATATTTAAAAACATCTTATACATGTGCTTCTTCTGAAGGTTATCTAGATAAAAGCACTGACGTTGAAATCTTCTATTTCAGGGGAACCATTCACACCTGAAGAAATGGAAGAGATGCTCTCAGCTGCTGTGGACCCAGACAAGGGTGTGGTTCTGTATAAGGACTATGCCTCTGCCATGGCACTGGAGGAAACATAACATGGCAGAAATGACTGTATTTGCATTGCCATTGTAGCTTAAATATGGTATTTCATAATGATGAGAGAGACACTGATAACTTTTTTAAAAAATGTGAAAATGCCCCCCCACAACACACCCACACTAAAGGAAAGAAAACAATTCACTATTTATATTCATAAGTTTAATATTCACTGTACATTATGTTAATTTACAAAAAATGTATCAATGCCTGCCTTTTTAGAAAATGCACAAACTGCACATAACCTGATGTTCACAACAATGAAGTCATAAAGGCAGGTTTATTTTTCTTTATGAACAATATATCAACTCTCTCTCTCTCTCTCCATACACACAATAATGACATTTCATTTTAAATAAATCCACCATATTTACTATAAGTCCTTTTTTGAATGCTGGTCATAAAAATTATTGTATTACTGTTGACTACAAGGGGTATTATTTATCACAATTGTTTGGTAAATATGATGAGTGTCCAAAACAGAAAAATTTCAGTAGTTACCAATTGGTAACCAGCAAGTGATAAGGTTCATTATATCAACAAATTGAGCTATGAATTGGGTACATTTCTGGCATTTATGATATAATAATTTTTGGCAATGTACATAAAATGAACCAGTTTGTAAAGCACTGCTACAAGTTCTATTTTTTCGTCAAAGTTTTGAGAACTCTGCTGGTTTCTTCTCTACTGCTGCCATGGCAGCTGTCATAACATCTTCACTCTGTAGCATTGCTGAATTCCAACATGCCTGTAAAATAAGTATGGAATAATTATGTCATCATAAATATGGTAGCAAAGACTGACAATTTTTACATGCAGAAGATGTCTAGTGTATACCAAACGAAGTTTTACAAATAAAAGAAAAACAAACTGCAATTAATTTTAAGTTGAACATGATAGTAAAAGCAGCTCTATAATGGATTCCAAAATGAAAAACTCATACTATGTGTTCTAGTCCTTCTTGTACTGAATGGTCTCTGGAGTATACTATGCTAACTTTGGATCCCTGGACAGCTATTGGACTTTTGCTGGCAATTAGTGCTGCTGTTTCTATGGCAGCCTCTATGGTAGATTCTCTGTCTGGCAGAATTCGACTTAAAAAAACATTTGTTTATTTATAACCAACTTTTGAAATACATTTTCAAAGATGTACCATATGCTATTAGTGTTGTAGTGGGTATATGAGTATACACAGTACAAGAACAACATCATAAATCATGTTGACTTAGGAGCAAACAATGAAATTCATAAAACACTTGTCTTTTCACCTCTTCACTTTGCAATGGAAAATTGCTAAATCTGTAATTTATGATTCTTTTCCACGCCTTCTAAATTTCTTAAATGTCACAAGATGATGTATCACCAGAAAATGTTGGTATTCCAATAGCTTTTCTCCCACTGAACTACTGTAAGTGTATATCCTAATTTTTTGTCAGCAAAGCCAATTTTGACGTCCAGTCATGTAAGGGGCAGGGGATTGACTTTGTGTGCAAATCTGAAATGATAGTTTTTTGTTTTGACCATCAACAATCGATTAAATAATTCAATTTCTTTTCATCAATCCAGTTGTCATTTACCTGACAAGTCCACATCTCATTGCTTCATCTGCCATCATCTTTCTTGCTGTATATGCCAGTTCTCTTGCTAGACTGTCATTGCCCACAACTTTTGGTAGTCTCTGTAATGTTCCCACATCTGCAGCCAAACCTACATCCACTTCCTGAAATATTCAAATTTAACACCTGACAATCTAACACACGGGGGAAAGCAGAGCAAGGGGGGGGAGCAGTGGTCTCAAAACTTTATGTAATCATCCAATATTGTCAATATTTGTCATACCTTAACCTGGAACCAGGCATCCTGGGAGCAATATCTGATATCACAAGCTGTGATCAGGTCTATGCCACCACCAACACAGGCATTGTGCACAGCCACTATAACAGGCTTGGGGCACTATGAAAGAGAATTTTACAAATATACATTGAAAATTTTGGAACAACTGTCATGCCTGTATCATATACTGATCCTTGTACAGTACCATAGCATAAAAATAATTTTGCACTTTCATATCAGTACTTGAATACATGTAAATTGCATGCCATAATCCTAATAAGGCATCCAAATACTTAACTTCTGTATAAAAAAAATGACAGACTGAAGAACTTCCATGCATGTGTAAAAATGTCACCAAACATGCAAATATAAACACAATTAGTACACAAAAACAGCTCCTCTACTGAGGCAACAAATATATACACCAACCTTTTCCATACAAGTAAACGTGTCCTGATATCTAGCAATAGCACCCTTTAACTTCATGCTCTTCCTTCCCACATCACTTTCCATGGGCATTAGAGATGCTATTTCTTGCAAGTCAATTCCTAACAATAAATAACTCTTTTCATTTTTCTTGTGTATGAAGACAAATGATGATTAAAATGCAGGGATTAGAACACGTAATTTTACTTAACTTTTGAGCAAATCTTGAGAAAAAAATGTAAACTGAAACTGAAATATGTTAAAAAGGGTAAAATGTCCTTGTCTATTGTGCATGATTTTAGTGTCTCACCTGCTGTGAACAGTTTCCCAGCACCTGACACAACAACTGATCTACAGTCTGGGTCTGTGGACACCTTGTTAAAACATTCCACCATTTCCCTAAGTATGAAAGAGAAAAATAGATAACTTGTTTCATCGCAGTCAATTTTCAAATTTAGTTTAATTCTTTTATGGCAATCAAGAATTTCTAATCATACAACAACACTCTCTGTACATACTCTCTCTATGTTTATTGTTTTTGAAAATAATCATAAGTTGTAACATGTTATTTTTCTATATCAATTTTTTTATTAAGGAAGCAGCAAATGGTAAGTGACAGCCTACAAAAAATTTTAAAGCTTTCATATATATTTATAAGATATCTGTATACTAGTACTGTACCTCCAAAATGCTGCGTTCATGGCATTTCTCTTTTCTGGTCTGTTGAGTTCCACTTGCAGCACATACTCTCTGGGTTTTGTCACTTTCAGGGTCTCAAAACTATAGCCTGCAGCTTCCAAGCCTCCTGACGACATTTTTCTGCTAGTCAATGTTAGTTTAGCTACATTTATTATGTTACCACCTAAAAGGAAATATTTAATCACCTTATTTATAAAACAACTGCATGGAATGTCATATTGCTGTCTAAGATGTGTGGCAAAGATACAGGACAAGTAATTTGCATTAAATTTTGTAAAGATATTTTATGCACCCACCAATCAAATCAGTGCTCCTTTATTAAATGTTCATTATTTTCAAAAATATATTTAACTTATATGCATAACTTGTAATTTCAAGCTTCCACGATAATAACTATTTGCCACTGCAGTAAAAACTAAAATATATACCGTTTACCTACAAACAGGTATAACGATAAACTTTCAGCAACAACACAATTCTACCGATGTAACTACGTTAATTAAAATTAAATTTACCACCGCAGTAAAGTTTATTACAACCCTTCCCGACTTTTACAAACACTATTGTAACTCGTACAAACGGACTTAAGTACAAATTTTAAGTAAGGATACGTTTGTTCTAGCACTTGCTCTTACCATGAACAAACCGAATACTTCTCGCCAAACTAAGCATTATCAGAACATGAGAATACTGTAGCACAAATTTCTATCTGAACTTTGATCTTGGTGCCTCAGTAGATCTACACATGTTTGGGCCAAAGGCATTTTACGGTGTGTTTGATTGGTGTTTTCTAACAAATCATCCAATAGAATTCTTGGATACATTCCGAACTTATGCAATGTCAGGGTAAACAAACATGGCTGCTTGGGGGCTGGGACTTGGGTTTGCAATCGGCGCTGCATTTTTTCTGTATCGCAGGCACAGGCGACATGCAAAATGCCCTTCAGATGCACAACTGGATGGAAAGACAGTGTTGATAACTGGTGGCAATTGCGGCATTGGTCTGGCGACTGCAATCGAGTTGGGCAAAAGAAATGCGAGGCTCATTCTTGCTTGCAGGGATATGGAGAAGGCAAAGAAGGCGTTGGTCCTCATTAAAAACGCTGCACCCAATGCAGAGGTTATAATCAAACACCTGGACTTGGCGTCCTTGAAATCAGTGAGACGTTTTTGTGAAGATATTTTACGCGATGTGAAGAAAATTGACATTCTGATCAACAATGCAGGCGTTTTCTATCACAAAATTGACAAAGTCACTGAAGAAGGCTTTGAATATAACATGGGTATTAACCACCTTGGCCATTTTCTGTTGACAAATCTGCTGGTTGACCTCATGAAGAAGGCTTCTCCGTCTAGGATTATAGTAGTTTCTTCAGCATTGCTTAAAAGAGGAGTGCTCAATTTTGATTCTAACCTGGGTTGGCCTGACCATGACAAAACCTCAAGCATGCAAGGGTATGCAAACAGTAAACTTGCTAATGTAGTTTTTGCCCGAGAGCTGAGTCGTAGGCTTGAAGGAAGTGGTGTATCTGTTTACAGTATTCACCCTGGTATGGTCAAAACAGATCTAGCCCGGTATTACAGTGTCCCATTCTTTCTAAGACTACTTGGTGGACTACTGTTGTGGGCTTTGCAAAAAAGTCCAGAAGAAGGATGTCAAGCAGTTGTTTACTGCTCTGTTGCCAAAGAGTTGGCTAATGAGTCAGGTTGTTACTACGGGAATGTGAAAAAGGAACCATGGCCAAAAACTGCTGAGGATAATGAACCTGCTGCTAAGAAATTGTGGGAGTTAAGTGAGAGACTGGTTGGTCTGGCTTGATAGTTACTCAGTATATATGTACCGTATATATACACTGACCAAAACTTCCAGCGCAACACTACTGTTTATTGCAACACGTCATTTTCTTATGCTAAATTTAACAATACATAACAAAGATGCAAATCAAAAACACAGTTTCAGAGTCATAAATAAAGAACAAATTTATTGCATCAGTTGAAGGCACAATTCAGGATCACTGAAGTCGGTATCTTGTATGGCCTCCTTTGACGTCACACACAGCCTGGATTCTGCGATGCCTGGCATCAATCAATAGAAGAATTTCAGCCTGTGTGATGCGGACTCATTCCTTCTGGAGTTCTTGATGCAACTGTTGGATTGTGGTAGGTTCTGGATCACGCCTTCTCACCCGGTGAACCAGAATATCCCATAGATGTCCTATAGGGTTTAAATCTGGGAAATACGATCACTGGTGCTTCTTGTTGCATTATACCAGCTCCAGAGACGTGATATGGTCGACACATGGACGCCAAGGTTCCTTACAACCCGTCTTTGCAACATGCTGCAAGTGAGCATACCAACAACTCGCATCGCTGATTTTGACCTAGGCGTGGCATGGTCACACATATAATATATATATATATATTACATGTACTTATTACAGATGTCAAGAAATCTATGGCAGGGCATTTGTGGGAAATGTATAATTTTCAATTCTTTAATTTCATTAATTAATCATATTAATTTTATTGTATATTGTTAAAAGGACCTAGTAGTGGTACGCATGATATTATGTTATCATAGGAAATTCAATAAATGTACTCAAGCAGATGTGTTTGATTTTACTCAAAACTAAATGAAACAAATGTGACTTACATTTATCTTTTATTAACATTTTCATCTGTTTATGTTTAATTGCAGAATGTTAACCTAACATATCACAATGCCAAAAAAATTCAATTATAAAAAGAATTGTAATTATTTTCTACAATGCTTTTAATGCTTAAATAGCATATTGATAGTTGACAGTTTATATTAAAAGTTCATTATTTGGTGGAAAGTGGTGTGAGGTATGGGCGGCGGTTTATACAAAAATGCAAAACACGATTAGTCGTCATCGTTATCAGATCAGTCGAAATGAAAACACGATTAGTCGTCGTCGTTATCAGATCAGAAGGCAAAATACGACTAGTAGTCATCAAAACGCAACTAGTCATCAAAACGCAACTAGTCATCATCAAAACGCAACTAGTCATCATCAAAACGCAACTTGTCATCAAAACGCGATTTGACGCCAGATGGCGCCCATTGTACGAAAATCTAGGCCAAGTCACATGATCCACAGTGATCAAAATGGCGGACGTTATTGAAGCAGCATTATCATATTCCTCGCTCGAACTCGAGAATTATCTCTACGCGTACAATCTAATAATGATATTATATATATAATAATATCTGGAACTTGTGAAATGAGTACAACAATAAAGCAGTGCTTCACAAGTGTGTGTTTTTGTTTTTTTTTAATTTATAACATGTCCAAATTATTTAATAAATTATTTAATTATTTATTATTTCGAGAATTATCTCTACGCGTACAATCTAATAATGATATTATATATATAATAATATCTCGAACTCGAGATAATTCTCGAGTTCGAGCGAGGAATATGATAATGCTGCTTCAATAACGTCCGCCATTTTGATCACTGTGGATCATGTGACTTGGCCTAGATTTTTGTACAATGGGCGCCATCTGGCGTCAAATCGCGTTTTGATGACAAGTTGCGTTTTGATGATGACTAGTTGCGTTTTGATGATGACTAGTTGCGTTTTGATGACTAGTTGCGTTTTGACGACTACTAGTCGTATTTTGCCTTCTGATCTGATAACGACGACGACTAATCGTGTTTTCATTTCGACTGATCTGATAACGATGACAACTAATCGTGTTTTGCATTTTTGTATAAACCGCCGCCCATAGTGAGGCCCTATTTTGTTTGTCAGAAACCATTAGGCAAATCAGTCACACACAGCTAGATTTTAGAACTATTACACAAACATCTCTTCAAAATGGGTTTGTAAGATATTAAAATTCAAAAACAAATTTAACCAAGGGCAAAAAAAAAAGAACATGCTGTGTTATTCCTTTATAAACCAACCCCCTATGTTTTAATATTTCCTTGTTATATCTAGCTTTCTCAGTGAAAAGTCTTAAGTTTTTTTTTTAATTTCACTTACGTTATGTAGTGAGACAATGTATTTACATTAAAGAGCTATTTACCATTTGGGGTATTTATCTGTTCAACAGATTTATGAAAAAATCCTGCCAATTACTATATATGATTTGACAGTTGAATTACCTATTACTCATTCAATTGATATAGCTCAACCTTGTAGGAATATAGTGTCCAGATTCCAAAATGTCTTCCATTTCTACGCAATGTGTTGTAGATTATGTGTTTTCATACTCCATGAATATTTGCTGCTAATTTCAACACTGGAAGCTGTTAATATTGATATTTATCACTTCTTGTACCAAAGACAATATAGTATTTTTGTTGAAATTTGACAGAAATATCTAGATCTACAATCTTCAGTTATCTCTTCTTGTCTACAGTCTTCTGATGCACATACTGGAGTAGTTGGTTTTTTGACAGTTTGTCAGGGTCACACTTTTCCTGTTTTTCATGCACTTTAACTCCACTTTCCCATGGCCAAAACACTCTTTGTAATAAAGTGTCCCTATAAATAACAAAAGCAGATTGATAGAGGAAAACAGCAACAATATGCAATATAAAATGTAAGTGGCTTACCACTGATATGGTACATATAAACATTCTCAATGCAGCAACTGTACAGTATTTTCTCTTTGTTACATAATTTCATAATAGCCCTTTTAAAAAATAATGACCAAAAGGATCATACCAAATCAAATCACATCTAAATACAAGGCATGCTAGATTCTAAACAAACCAGACAAACACTAATATGGATGCCTTCCAAAAACTTTACAGCTAACCTCACATCAGCTATGGACTCTGGTGGCGTAGCAAACATGGACTCCCCATTCTTCTTGTTAAAGTAATACTTTCTATTACTGCTCCGACTAAAACTCATCACCCAAGGGTCTGAAAGTAGATCCATAAGATTAAAATAGTAACAATAACAATACATTTATGCATTTGCAAGTTTCACTAAACTGTCACAATATCTGTTTTATTATTATTATTATTATTATTATTATTATTATTATTATTATAATTTAAATATTTTTATATATTATAATTTGTGAACATTTTGTACCCTACAAATGATACAGATTTTATATTACCTTTGACAGTCTTGACAAAGAACACCCCCGAAGGTAAGAAATGGCAGCCACTGCTATTACAATAGCATAATCTTGGGAAAGAAGAGCCCTTAACAGATTTCATCTCTAAGCTGAAATCAAAGAGGGTACTCAAACATGTATAGAATAACAATACTAGCCTGGTTGACACTGGCCATTCTATGGAATGAGTATGACTGGTAAATGTACTTTATAAAAAGAAGTATTTTGTGACAAATGGTTAGTGCTAGTGTAAAATATCATTTTTCTAACGCTTAGTGCTATAAAGAAAATCTAAAATCTATATTAAAAAAAAAAGGAAAATCTGAAAGGTAGATAATTGAAAGGGGATATGTAAACCTATTTGCATGCCACAATATTATCCATACTTACCTATCAAAAAGTTCTGATATTTCTTCAAATCTATATATATCCTTCACTCTAACAGGTGCTAAGTCAGAACGACTGGGCTTAGAAAGTGCTTTCACAAATAACCTTAGCTTCTCTATCCTGTAATATAAAAGAATATTTGTTGTGAAACAGATGTAAAATTCTAAAACAATTAAAGGGATAGACATATGAGATTCAAAATTCCACAATAAATACATTGCAAACAACACAAATATAAGAAATTTCATTCCACCACCTAAACAGCAGTCATCACAATTATTTTGAAATATGTGGTTGCTACTGCATCATGTGGACCTTCATAGACGACTTCCCTCCTTCATAATCTCTTAAGAGATTATTACAAAAAACATACTTTCTTTAAAAAAATGTAGGAATGGATTCATTAATCACTGATAAGTATTAGAACATTTTGTTCACCCCTGGAAAATCCATTTTATGGCACTTCACCTACCAAAATGAAGAGTTGTTATCCCTAAAGTAATTAACTGTCAAACACCAAATATGGCCAATTTCTTCCACAGAGGCATGTACTCATTTACCTCACATTAAAATGTTCCTGTCTGATGTCATCTCCACAAATAAACATGGCATCCAGGACATGAAATGTCATGAGTTTTCTTTGGCCTTTTCCCTAAACAGATGAAAATATCTCACTTGTAGAAGAGTGCATTTCCTTATTCTTTTTATTGAAGTGAATTAGTGACAAGATAAGATACTTAATGCATATTTGGCCAAACACAGGTGAGCATGCATGCACGAATGCAACACCAACACACACACCAAAATCAATATTTTTCTGAACATCCAATTGATCGGAGAAAATCATGTTTCAGGTGGTTAATGCGATTGTTATATATTCTACAGATAGGGGTTGGGAAGGGAGAGCAATTTGATACTTTTGTTTACAGTCTATATCAATGTGCATTTTATTTATGACCTTATATTGTTGCAGTTTCTTTATCAGAGGTCATGAAAGGAAAATGAGTGAAGTAAACTACAAGTACCTCTCCCTTTAACTCTTGAACCAGTTCTCCTTCTAGCAAAGTGTCTTTTGGAAGCTCTAGCTTGATTTCCTCAAGTTTTCTCCAGGGTGTTTCAGGCCGACCATCCCACTTGTAGATGTGTGCTCTCTTTCCAAACAATCACTAAATTAGTCTATACTAATGTTGCATCATAGATGACAAGTAATTACAGTGTTAGCAGGCAACAAAGAGGACAAGATGATAAATAAATGTTTTTTATTCAAAATTAAAAAGCGTATATTTCAATTCTCTCACTGATTAATTTGCAACTGTTGTGATTAAAACCAAGTATAGACATAGTTTTAGTGTTTTGTTAAGACATGTCTATGAGATAAAATACTATGGTGTACTTACTCCAAGACTCAACAGAAACAATCTCTGATTACCCCCTACAACATAGCACCTGTAGTCAAACACACTCTTCATACAGTTCAGCTTTGTCTGATCCAGTACAGCTGGAGTGTGTTTAAAGTAATCTGTATTCTCTCCCTGAAAACAACAGGTGCCACATAAGCTGTCATGCAAAATAGAATACTTTATTATGTAGCAGATATATTAGAACAGTGTTCTTTGAAATAGGCAGCATGGCTGATACACCTGCAAACATTAAAAGCAATGCAGAATCACATTAAAATGCTACCAATAAAAAAATTACAGTGATATTTGAAATGACCTGCATTTCTACCAAACAATACATCCCAGTAAATTTAAAGTGAAGCCAAAATTAGTTTGGCAACTACAAGGTGCAAGTGTGGAAGGACAGACACAGAAAATGAATAATACTTTTTACAATAATCTATTTAAATCTAGGACCTATAGTAACTTTAAAGATTAATTGATGTTATTTTGCATGCTTCAGCAGATTTTCATTTCTACTGTGACAGTCAAATTCATTAAGTACTCACTTTTATTAATTCTTTAAATTTTGTCTTGGCCTCCACTTTAGATGCTGCTGTTCTCACACTGTCTGGGATCTGAGTTAAAAATTTACACAGAATGATAGGTCAAGAAAATATTTAATACTTACAGAAGACATGGCAGAAGGATAGTGTCTCCAAAGCATTTTTATTTTATAAAATATTTATATTCAAACTCATACTTATAAGCGGAGTATGCAAAAAACTGTAAAAAATTATTTGAAAGAATTACATATATCACAGTTTAGCAATTTGAAAAAGTAAAAATGGTTGTTAGTGCATTACCTGCCATGTCTCTAAACATTCTGCCCTCATAAGTGATTGTCTCTCTTCATACAAATCACTGGAATGTTACAAAACATTTCAGTGTCTACAAACATTAAGAAACAGTAGTCTCTCAAAAAAAGAGAAGACAAAACAATTTTTTTCTTCAGTTTGTCTCACAAAAATGTATTTATATGCTAACAAAAAAAAAATCATTTCTCTGACAGCTCTGAGATTTTCCTCTTAATACTGTCGTAACTATTATTATACCTGTAGTGTATCTGAGTTATAAATCATGACTTTTACAACATTTAACAGCAATTTAGCCAGTATCTAGTTGATTTTTTGTAATAATCTTACGGATTTTTTGCAAAGGCTTGTATTTTGGCCAAGTTCAATGCCTGTTTTATTCCCAAGCTGAAAAGGAATAAACAAGTTTACTTTACAAAATAAACATATTGTTTATTCTTCAATAAAAAATTCACAGAAAACAATCAGCATATATATAAGTAATTACTAATTACTCAATAACGTAGTTATTATATACCGGTAATATGCATAGAATATGATCTTATTTCTGGGAATCACTACTGACAAATGTCTACACCAAGCATAATATTGACTGATGATGAGATCAATGTTTTTTTACCAATAAGAGTAAAGAAAAGATACCATCAATCAGATGACAATTATGGCTTATGACAACCATGATGCAACTTTTGATGTTACCTTAGAGAGCACTGACATTCAGCCAGTATTATATTCCATAACAAAACAATTACTGACTCAAGTTTTTGATCAATATGTTGTTTAGAAGACCCTGGAAAAGTGACAGCATCCTGGGATGCACCTTTCAAATATTACTTTTGTGAGGTTTTCAAAACAGCACGTTTAACCCAGCCAAACTCATTAATGTCTTAATGTATGTGAAAATGCATAAGAATATACATCCATGATTTAACATAATTTCATAACAATACACACAAGTGTGCATTCTGCTATGCAATGATTGACAAAATGAAAGTCCACTCACTTGTCATTTGATGTAATGATATAATCCACAAACTTGTGATCACTTCTCATGACATTATCTGGGACCACCTCTATTATATCATTGTCACTGGTGCTTCCCATCTTTTCCAGGGCTAGGTTGATGTGATACATGTAATCTGTCACTGCCTGAGCATCTTGACGCTTATATTTACATACAATGTACCTATACAGAGTAGCAAAGGTGAAGTTTAACACTGAAGTGTGTGAAAAAAAAACTGCTACAAAATATTTCATTGAATATCTTCACAAGTTAGGTAGATGATAATTTAAGTGATATATTATTAAAATGTAAACAAAAGTTGTTTTATTTACCTGACTTATTGTTAGATTTTGGTATCTGGTACCACATTCTTTAACAATGATTCAACTCTGAACAATATGAAACTTGTATGCGTGCCTTACCTCTCTGAATTTGCAGGTCTACTTGTAACTGGTTTGAAAATGGCCACATGTTCAAAAGCCTTGTACATCAGGTAAACAAGCCCAACGCTGTATGCAGTGAAGATATCAAAAAGTTTGCAAACAAAATGTCCACCTAAATGTGAAAGACAGGTAATAGAAAAATTGTTTGGTAGACATTTACATAACCTCGTATGGGAAACAAAAAATAGCAATATGATGCAAAATTAATGTTTTGCCATATGAAACTTAGCAAAGGAAATAAAGCTACCTTGCTACACATAGGCTACCAGTACTTACCATCCCTCAGTAGCATAAGGGCAGCTAAAAATTGACACAGGTATAACCTTTTGGACAAAATTTCCTGGATATTTTCTTGACCTTCAACTGAAAATCCCTAGAAAAACAACTTGTTTATTCCTTTTCAGCTTGGGAATAAAACAGGCATTGAACTTGGCCAAAATACAAGCCTTTGCAAAAAATCCGTAAGATTATTACAAAAAATCAACTAGATACTGGCTAAATTGCTGTTAAATGTTGTAACAAAAATTGCTAAAAATAACTTTCTCTTGAAATAAACAATTCGCTGAAATCTTAAAACAGGAATAATTACTTTTCTTTGTAAAAGATGCTTATAAAAGTAGTTGCAGTGAGGGAGAGGCTGTTGGTTTACATATTTGGTAAGGAAAATCCATTTGAGCCAGACAAAATTGAAATAATCACAGAAAATGTTTATCTTTGGTAAAATGTAAAACCACTTCTCAATTTTCTTTAGTACCATAAACTTGGCAGTAAAAAGTTTTAACAGACTCACACCATCAGCCATGACAAAATGGACTCCTTTATTGTTTGTGTTCTCCAAAACAAATTTTTGCAGAGAGATAAGGTTTTCTGGCCTATAAATGTCCCCATCATCATTGACACCTGGAAATAAATATGAATAAAAATTAATAAAAATTCCTTGTACAGAATGAGACAACGAAATTAACCAATGTCAGCATTTTAATCTTTTAGATTAATAATATCCATTGTTTAACAATGCAGTGGTGAAGTATCAGTGACAATAATTAACTTTAAACAAGAAACACAAAATGTTAACTGTTCAGTACACAGGTTAGATTTTGCCTAAAACATTTTGTGAGAGAATATCTGACAGAGAAACAGTCTCATATGGGTTAGACCTTCACTTATAATATTTACCATAGTAAGGTTCAAACATTTCACTGGGTGCAGCCAGGAAGTCCTCCAGCTTGAAATCACAGGGTCCTTTCAGTGTGAAACCAAAACCTTTAGCATGCCATTTTTTCCTCCACAGTATGTATTCACTGAAACCACCAGGACCAGCACAGACATCAGCAAAATATAGTAACTCATTTGGACCAACAACGCTTCTCTGGAATTGAAAGAAAATAGAATGCAAAAAAATAAATAAATAAATAAATAAAAATAATAATAATAAATAAAAATAGATGTATATAAAGACAATATCTTGAAACAAATGGTAAGTTAATAATCTAACACTTAACTTCCTAAACGGCAAGATCATGACCAATGGACCAACCAATTGTTTAACGTAATGATAAAACTTATAACAAATAACTTACCCCTTCTCTGTCCTTTGGGTTGGTGAACATAAAATCTAGAACTGCGTCCATGTTGGCCATCTTAACAGCAGCCCTGTTATGACATTACGAAACCACTTAAAATGAATAAGTTATACAGGTCATCATTGTATATAATGATGTCATAGGCATGTGCCAAGAGATCAACAAATAATTATCAAACCTTGAAGATTACCAGTAAGGGTGAATGTAGAAGGCACACAATTTCAGTCTGTGTGTGCTATCTGTAACCAAAACAGCCTTAATAATAAAACCAATACAAAATACTAGAAATGCAGAAAATCCCTGTAACTATATATATATATATATCAAGATTTACAACTATGACAAACAAATGTTTCAATGAAAAAAACTTAATTTTACAAACCTATTCAAGAATATGGCTCCACGTATAGTCTCATATGGGTTAGACCTTGTCCTGGCTCTGCGCATCTCTTCTGGCTCTAGTATATCAAACATACTCTGTAAAATAAGAAAGAGCACAAACTTAATTTAGTTTACATATAAAAATAGAAATTCAAGGACAAGTATTGTATAGGTTGTAATTTTGGGTTGAGTAATTCAGTGAATCTGTGAAATTCTAATGCAAAACTCTAAGTATTTCATATAACAGTATTTCATATAATCTATCAAATTTGAAAATATTTCCGTAGTTCAAAACATTTTTTTAACTTAATGAATGTCAATCTATCACCATATTATTGTTTTTTAAAACCAGCTATATCTTTTCAAATATAATTTTGATTAAGTATATTATAATTTGCTCACCTTGCATTTCAGTACATCTTGTAGGACTGATTCAGTACAAAATTGAGTTTCGTCATCAATTGTTAACTTTTTCTGAAAAAGCATATAAAAATTACTTGAAGGTCACATTGTTTTAAATTAACTAATGTTTGTCTGAAGGAGAATCACTCTTTTTTATAGTTATAATTAAGTATCTTTTCATTTTTCTGACTTTACTGCAGTTTCCAAGAAAACTTTATGCATGAACCTCCTCAATCCCAAGTTATACTAGATTCCATTTCAAAGTGATAAATAGCAAAGAGTATGCAATATAATTGCTGATTTATATATTAAGACCCCAAATGAAACTTTTGTGTTTATCTCATTTAAAAGAAAACCAATTGTAGCCTGACTGAATAGTAAGTGTTGACCAGTGAACATGTATGTTAAGAATAATGCCATACATCACCTTTCCTTCTCTCATCCATGATTCCATTGTATCTATGGATGGGACTGGGTCTGTACATGAAGGCATCCACTCCACTGTTTCCTTTGCAGAGACCTTGAAAAATTGACATATGCTTTTCAATACTCAAAATAAGTTATCTATCTTCATTGTAAAACATATAGCTGTTACATTCAAAAAGATAAAATATCAAAACCAAATTTACAGTCACCCAAAGATTTCATAATCTTATAGTATAAATCTTTACTGTCATACAGCAAAAAATGGGTATCTGACTTTATATTCAATGTACAAAAAATGTTGTATAATGTTTAACAGCACAAAAGCTAAGAGAAAAATATGTTAAATGTTATCTTACATCTTCCCAGCTCCATTCTACATCTGCAGGCTCAAATGCCCCAAGTTGCAATCCAAGACCTCGTCTTCCCCTTTGCTTTGATGCCTCAACAGGGTCTACTCTGCCCTGTTTATTTAATCCTAATCCACTGCCTTCTTTGTAACCCATTTTTGCCTATAGAAAGAGAAACCTATACCGATTATCTTCCAAATTGTTACAATTATGTACACCACAATAAACATAAAAAATAGAAATAGATAAAATAAAGGAAAGATACAGAACACATGTCAGTTCAATATTCCTAGCTGCAGAAGTCATTAGCATTCAACAATGACTCATTCAGTCTGTGAAAAAGTGAGTGTTGTATCCATCAATATACCTTTAAAAACTGGATCAGCACTAAATATCTTTATATAAAACTGTTGATTACCTAGTTAGAATTTAAAAAAGCACATCATGCAGCCAATCTGTATACATGTACATTACCATCATTTTCTGTGCTTTGCTTGAGTATTCAGCACCCTTCTTTTTCTTTGTGGGTGGTTCAACTGCATTTCCCTCTTCATTTGTTTCCACATGGAGCACTCTTTTCTTGGCTCCAAATCCTCCTTTTTTCCACCCTTCATCTATGGTCATCCCCCCACTATCTTCATCAGAGTCATCTGAGATATAAAACAGCTCCAGTTAACTTACATGACTACTGTACACTTGAATGCTAATCCATATACTGGTATCTAGTACTTCAATTCCCATCAACAGAGCCAGGTGTAAGGTGAGAATTTTAGCTGCTTGTCTACCAGTTAGATCACTGTGAAAACATACACATGTTCTTAAGGGGGAATGTCTGCAACAAACAGATTATTCTTGTGAGAGATTTGTCAGAAATTGTATCCTGCCCCTAAAACAAACTCTCAAATAATAATAATGTTGCTCAAGCAACTTATATTGGACTCAGTTCTGCACAGTAGGTTGTATCACTTTTTGACATACTTTGGGCATGCAGAAGTTTATGGTTTATTTTTCCCAGATGTTATATTTTATGGTGGCCTAACTGGTAGACAAGAAGATGAACGTTATCTTACTCATGGCTCTGTCGACAGGAATTTACTGTGGTAAGAGTAAATAAGTTGAGGAGATGAGTGGTAAGTGAAAAATTTGAGAGCACTCGCATCATGTTGGATGCTCAGACTGGAAATTTTACACTATTTCAGGCTTTTGTTTGCATGCGTTTGCACAACATACATTGTCAATATGAGTCCTAATGTAAAGTGTATAGACCCTATACAAATTATATACACACACAAAATATTTTAATATCTGACGTATGTCTTCCAAAACATTTACAAATGTCAACAAGAAAAATACGAGATAAATCTTGGCAATTACAAAAAAGTTAATAATCAAAAAAGTGAAAGCAGCATTTGGATTTCGTTTGGATTTTGATACTAAATTCTGTAGACAATATGAGTATGATGGTGATAACCTTTGTGCGTAAAATAAAAAATCACAGGGCAAGGGTAAATTAAAAGTAACTTTTATCAACTTTTTTTCTAAATGTTTAAAGCACATTAGGCCTACCTGAAAGGTTACCTTGGCCGTGGAACATCGTGCCACTACTTTCTTTCTCACAGTCGCTCCAAAAGCGGATATGTGATCCATATAAACACCAGGGAATCTCGTTTCCTTTATGCGCATGCGTTATACTCGTCTTGCGATTTGTGTTTGCGTACGTGACGCATACGCCTCAGATGTTTCGTGCGGTGTAACGTGTTAAGTGTTACTGACAAGCGGCAAGTAAAGACTGTCTACAAGCTTTATATTGTGAGTATATTTGAAAATTGTGTATTTTGGAATTGGAATGTTAAACTCTTTGCAGTTTTGCTTCATTTACCCATCAGATTAGCCATGAAAAAGTTATATTAAAAGTCTGCATTGTCACTTGTTAATTGGTACCCTGTATTTGCGATTGTGATACCTTTCCCCTGCTTTTCGACGCTTTGGCAATCGTTGCCTTAGTTTTTGCATAGGAGTAGAGGTAAGACCTCAAAACACCCTGCGTTAGGAACTCTCGTGGCTAGATGTCGCGTCACTTACAAATCAAATGGCGTGCGGAAGAGCTAACACTACAGAATCAATAGCTTAAATAAAAAACAAAAAATATATCAAACTGGTTCACGAACCGATACAAAACGACTTTATTTGCTAATGACATGCTTCAGAGTTTCAGGGTACTCACAGACATGAAATAGCCCAGAATTTGGATATCCATAGCCTCGAGAGTTTGTAACACGGTTGTGAGGCCTTGGTAAGCAGCTTGTACATAAAGCCAAAAACTGAGGCAGTTGCAATGTAATAGGTTTGCATAGCCAGAAGTTAAATTAATAGCCTTGAAGACATCTTATCTAGCGGTTCTTTTTTGTTTGGAGGGACGATAACAAATTTATCGTCTGTGCACCACGAAATGAAGAAGAGCAGAGCAGAGCGATACAGCAACGCTGAAGTGGCAGTGTTGGTGGAAGAGGTCTCATGCAGACCTACGCTATTTAGTCCTTTCACCAATGCTGTGACTTCAAAGTCCAAACAAAGGGAATGGACTGAAGTTGCTGAAAAGTAAGTTCATGTAGAATGTTATTTTCTGAAGTAAATACTGTAATTTGTGTATCAGGTTTTTATTTAAAGTGTCTTCAGTTCAGGATAGTTCATATTGGTATAGTGTATGTTATTGTATTTTGAAAGCACTTGTACCATTAAATTACAATATGTTCATTACCTAGATTGCTTGACATGATTCTTATGCTTGTATAATATTATTATCATGATTGTTTTCCTCCTAGAGTTAACAGTGTTTCACATATAAAAAGGAGTTTTCGCGATGTCAGGAAAAAATGGCATGACTTGACAAGTCGCACTAAACAGAAAGAGGCAAAACTGCGTGCGGCAATGTGCCAGAAAAGTGGTGTGAGGCCCAGTCGACTGACAGAGTGGGAGGAGAAGGTATTAATTTATTTTGTGATTGGTGAAAATAAATTTTTACATTAAGGCCATGGACAGGGTTAGACAAAATATCCTAAATTATCGTCTTTACATACATGCTTTGGATAATACATAAATCTGGAGTGTTCACTGACTAAATTCCTTTTCATTTACATAAATGTCATCCTACCAATGACATATTTGAGAGTTTTTGGTAAAAAATCTCTTCTTTACCTGCATGAGCACCCATGAACATTGTTTTAATGCCAATTTAGTGACACCCACTGAATGTTTGAAAACCTTAGCTCAAATTTACTAGTAATCGTTAATAAGGCAAAATAAAGCCTTTTTTCAATGATGCATTGTAATTAGGGGATCATAACTCCATAACAAAAAAATTATAAACCAAAATGACGGCACTGAATTGAAGCCTATACATATAGATATTGTCACCTATGCCAATTTATGTGATATAATGTTGTTTAAGTTAGGTCCCATACTGACTGCTATCTCACCTCATAAAATTGACGATAAAGGCTCATGTGCTTTTGCTTAGCAACAGGAAATACAAACGCTGATATTTTATATTTCGAAGGGATTTTTATTGTTTTTAATCAGCAAAATGGTAGATACATTATTGGATGGTTACATTCATAAAAACTCATTTTTGGTGTTTTGATAACCATAAATCTAGTTTGTAATAGTATTTGTCATTTGCCTAATTTTCTCGTATTATTAAAAATTATCTTGTGACTTATGAGTTGTCACTAAATTGGCATTAAAACAATGTTCATGGGTGCTCATGCAGGTAAAGAAGAGATTTTTTACCAAAAACTCCCAAATATGTCATTGGTAGGATGACATTTATGTAAATGAAAAGNTTATTGTTTTTAATCAGCAAAATGGTAGATACATTATTGGATGGTTACATTCATAAAAACTCATTTTTGGTGTTTTGATAACCATAAATCTAGTTTGTAATAGTATTTGTCATTTGCCTAATTTTCTCGTATTATTAAAAATTATCTTGTGACTTATGAGTTGGATAAATGAAAAGAATACTCAGAAATTATAGAAACATAACACATTTTTATATAACTTAAAATCTGCACATTGCTTGTTTGTAAATTGTAATATATACCTCGTTATAATGGATCTTTTCAAACCTGATTTGTTCTCACCTCCCTGGGGAGAATATACACTCTGAATGCAGGGTCCCCTGGTAGTCTGTTGTAAAATTATTGAACCGAACACCAAGGGGTATGATACAATCAAAACCTTCTTCACCATATGACCAGGTCTTTCTCCATACTTCAACATCTTTACACTGAGTGCTTAAAGAGAAAACAGCAGATACCATTTTAAAAAATGGTCTTTATTATGACCTGGCCATGGGGATTGAACCAATGGCTTCAAGCACTTAAGGCAAGCATTCTACCATTTGTGTCATCTTGTCCAGTTAATATTGTTGTAAATTCAATTAGTTGAAGAACCTCAAGCTAAGTAAATAACAGTACATTGAATTATAATTTCAGGTCATTGAAGTAATTGGAAAGACTGCATTGAAGGGGATTACAAAATTAGTAGGAAGTGACAGCTGGTCACCTGCAAGTAAGAAATTTAATTAATATATTTTGTGGTCTTATACAGGTCAACTAATATAATTACAGTGTATGAATTTCATGTACAGTTTAGAATTGTGATAAATGCTATGGAAGAAATGTTACCAAGTTATTCAACATTTCAGTTGACTTAAAACAGTTGAATTTACTTGAAATGTCATAGAGCGCATTCAGAACAGATGATCCACCGACTAATTTAAATATAGCTGACCCCACTTAAAAGTGATGCTGCTAATTCCCTGATGGCCTCTCTGCCTCCACATGCACTGTCCCTGCAGGGGCCTAGCAATTAAACCTCAGAGATTTAATCCATTTAATGACATGTGAGGAGTTTGGGAGACCATCAGGGAATAAGCTGCATTGCTATTAAGTAGGTCAGCCATATTTAGTCCGTGGGTCTGTTAGTCTGCAGATCTACTTGTTCTGAATGTGCTCATATATTGTAATTTAGGTCAGGGTGGTCCCCCTTGTCTGCCTAGTGTCTGTTTAGCATCCAATGAACATCCTACATGCAGTTATGCAGGTAATAATAATATAGATATACTCTTTAAATTCATGCTTTTCATATATATAAATCTATATATATTTATCGGTAACCATCCATTTCTAGCTGATTTATTATTATTATTATTATTTTTAATTTATCTTGTAGGATACAAGAAGCAATTTTTTTCAATAATTATTTAATGGACTTTTCTTAGTAAGGGAAGAAATAACTTTTCCGTATATCAAATTGTTTAAATCTGTCTAGTTTAATATGTAATTTATGTTAACATGTTATTTGTATTTCATTTTAATTTAATGTGGTTGTAGTATGAACGTGATTAATAAGTTAATGTATTTGTACTTATCTAGAGGAAAGTAATTCAGAATACAGCTGTATGAGTACTGGCAATGAAGAGGTCCCAGCTGCAAGCACTAGTCATGAAACGGCATTAACAATAGGTGTTTATTGCATATATTTTCCAATTCATCTGCTTTAAAGTTACAGCTAAAAATTGTGAATTGTCATATTGAGAGATGAATTTAAAAAAATGCAATCTGTAATACATATATTATATTTGTTGACATCATGTACAAAAAACATGTAAATGCATGCAACTCCTTTGAAATAAATTTTATAAGTCTGTGGATTATTTTTCAAGCTGTACATGAGGCAAGGCATGATAAATTCATAAGAGCCCACTTAATAGTGTAATAATTAGTTATATATTTAATTATTAATTCTGTATTTTGTCAAATTCCAGGTGCCAGCAAAAGAATTTATGAGGTAGAAAAAGAGAGGTTGCAAGTGGAAAAAGAGAGGCTGGCAGTGGAGAGAGAACGTCTGAAGTTGGAGAGGGAAAGATTAGAAATTGACAAAAAGAAGGATATTTTATTTGAAAAAATGAAGGAATATTATGAGGCAAAGTTGGAGATGAAGAAGAAGTTTTTTCAAGAACTTTAGGACTCCTGCCCATAGTACCCATATTACATGTACATGTACAGTGTTTACATTGTAGTATTAGTACCCATGGTATGTTACAAAAATGTAATAAATATAATATCCTTAGTTACAAATAACTTTATATTTCCTTTCTTATTTGAAAAGCTTGAAGTACATTAGCATTAGAAATTAAAAAGGGTGTTATCTGAGGCCATTCATCTTATAAAGCATTATTTAGTAGGATTGACCAATGGTAAATATTTCATTCTTATATCTAATAAGCTGTATAAGTCAATAAAAAGTGATATTTGTCTTCAACATCATAAATGTTTTACATTGTTTCAAGGCCAATTTAGTGACACTATTGAGTACTTCAACACCAGTAGCCTTAAGAAGTTTATACTTGCCTCTTTAGCTTTAACTTAATAGTAAACAGTACTTAATTTGCGTGGTTGATTTAATGTTGAGTAGTGTAACCTCCTACAAGGAAGGCCCTGAAATGTCTTCCTAAATGTTCATATACAGGTACAGCTTTTAATATTTAGACAAAGTTGGATTAAGTAATACGTAAGTCTCCAGTAGAAACTTTAAAGCGAGTGTATCCAATTTTGCATCATTCATTTTTATCAGCAAACCTACTGAGGTGATCCATAGCTAGCTAGGTTATGCACATTATTTTTATTGGACTATTTTTCTTTAAGTTATGTAGTTTTTGTGAATTGTTCATTTTTCACGCATTGATATTTTCAAGGTGTGAGATTGAACGTGATCATAAAGCCATGGGCCAGTTTAATTACCTACTATCTACATTAATTGTAGGGCCTAAACAAAAATCAGATTATGATGTTAATCATTGTCTGATATCAACTCAAAATTGACAAAATTTATTTTTTGCACTGTTATCTTTATTTTCTGTCTTTGGTTTATATATATATATATATATATATATATATATATATATATATATATATATATATATATATATATATATATATTATTTCATGGCTAATGTACATATTGTGTGTAATATAATAAATATAACTTTATAAAATATAAATTAGTGTTTTATTTTGACAAAATGATAAACTATCTTCATTATGTGATGAGTGAAGGAAAACTTAATTATAAAGTTTTAATCATATGAAAGAAATGCCAGGACAAAACCAAAAGGTGTATGAAACAGAGATTGTAATCTTTTCATCAGAGATACTGTGTAGTACTGCATGAAATGAGAGAATATGGTCCATGTGTTAAACCAAGGACGACCCTGATATACATGTATATATGGCATAGAACTATTTCTTAACTCTTCTAAACATATCCATCTTGGCTGATGCTCAAGCAAGAAACGGGAAAGTAGGAGACGTTGCCTTTTTGGACACCTGGAACCTTGTTATCTTTTCTAATGAAGTCCATGAATTAAGTGATAAGCCCCACCAAATAAAAGGTTTTCTGAAGCATATCTGAACATCCTCGTATCTCACGACTTCATGCTAGAAATAAAATTGTCAGTATTATACATGATAGAAAGACCACGATACAAAACTGGGCCATTATTTGCAAAAGTTCCCATTTTCACTTTTTCCATAATCTGTTGAAAGTGAGAAGTTATTCTGTCAAAAGTGTACATAGAAACTACATGTACCTGTAGGATCCAAGAAAGATGAATATAAAACCTCCAACTCCAGAGCTGATTACATGCTCAGTGCAAACCATTCAGCTCATATCCCTAGTGTTTTCAATATGATCCAGCAGCTTGAGATAAATGGTGATTGTTCATCCAACTCAACACAAGCAAAACACTTAATTGTGATTTATTTTATGAATAAGCTGACATTGCTTGTATCATTCACAATGGCGAGGATCCATTGATGAAAAATCACTAAACAAAGGTGAAAAACCTTTGTTGATCAACTACCCCCATTCATCCAATTTAACACAAGCAAGATATCTGAAATCAAGCTTAGCATGATACAAATAAATCTTTGACAATAGCAAGATGCCATTGATGAAAAATCACCAAACAATGGTGAGACACCATTGTTGACCGACTTCTTCTATTGCC